ACCAAAGCTCTACAAACAGTAAACTACCATGTAAATAGTAAGGTGAAACATAGCGTGCTTTAGGCTGAGATGTGTATTAGTTAGCAGATGTTTTTAAACATTGTTGGTTGTAACTATACATGTACCTAGGCTCAAATTAGGGTCAAAATGATTTTGAGCTTGTAAAGTGATGTTCACAAATAATTCCAGTGTTTGTAGTTGTAAATCAAATGTTGTAAACCTGTAAAATAAATCTGCTTGAGAAATGCAAGTTTGTGTATGTGAAACAATTGCACTTGTGTCAAAGAGATTGTATTTGAAAGTCTGAATCAAAACTCCACAAATGATCAGTGTTGAGGTTGAACAAAGACACTGTAAAAGAAATGGATTTGTCAACATCTGTGTTGTGATACAGAGCAGAAAACTTTAAAACTCTTCCCACAGTGTGACACTGAAGTGACAAGGATCAAACTTTGTACTTGTCAGTGTCACACACTGGGAATCTTGCACACTGAGTTTTAGTTTTCTACTCTTTCTCTCTGTACACAGATGTCCACAAAAGAATTTCTTCTTTCCTAGTGTCTTTGTTTAACCCCACCACTGATGATTAGTTCAGTTTTGATTGAGACTTTAAAGAATTAGAAATCTCTATGCCACAAGCAAAATTTTGTTTCATATGCATAAACTTGAATTTCTCATGTAGATTTATTTTCCAGGTTTACAAAGTTTGATTTCCAGCTACAAATATTGGAATTATTTGTAAACATTACTTTATAAGCTCAAAATCATTTTGAGCCTAATTTGAACCGGTGGCTAAGTCGGGGGCTAAGTCGGGGGCTAAGTCGGGGGCTAAGTCGGGGGCTACGTTCGGGGGCTTAAGTCGGGGGCTAAGTCGGGGGCTAAGCTCGCGGGCTCTAAGTCGGGGGCTAAGTCGGGGGCTAAGTCGGGGGCTAAGTTCGGGGGCTAAGTTCGGGGGCTAAGTCGGGGGCTAAGTTCGCGGGCTAACGTTCGGGGCTAAGTCGGGGGCTAAGTCGGGGGCTAAGTCCGTCCATTTCAGGCAATGCCTGTGCTGGGGGGGCGCGAGCTAGCTCGCCGGGCGGCTAGCTCTGCTTGCTGGGCGCAATGCCTGTGCTGGGTGGGGCGCGAGCCTAGCCGCCGGGCGGCTAGCTCTGCTTGCTGGCGGCAATGCCTGTGCTGGGGGGGGCCGCGAGCTAGCCGCCGGGCGGCTAGCTCTGCTTGCTGGGCGCAATGTCCTGTGCTGGGGGGGCGCCGAGCTAGCCGCCGGGCGCTAGCTCTGCTTGCTGGGGGCGCATATGCCTGTGCTGGGGGGGCGCGAGCTAGCCGCCGGCGGCTAGCTCTGCTTGCTGGGCGCAATGCCTGTGCTGGGGGGGGCGCGGAGCTAGCCGCCGGGCGCGCTAGCTCTGCTTGCTGGGCGCAATGCCTGTGCTGGGGGGGCGCGAGCTAGCCGCCGGGCGGCTAGCTCTGCTTGCTGGGCGCAATGCCTGTGCTGTGGGGGGGCGCGAGCTAGCCGCCGGGCGGCTAGCTCTGCTTGCTGGGCGCAAATGCCTGTGCTGGGGGGGGCGCGAGCTAGCCGCCGGGCGGCTAGCTCTGCTTGCTGGGCGCAATGCCTGTGCTGCGGGGGGCGCGAGCTAGCCGCCGGGGGCTAGCTCTGCTTGCTGGGCGCAATGCCTGTGCTGGGGGGCGCGGAGAGCTAGCCGCCGGGCGGCTAGCCTGCTTGCTGGGCGCCAATGCCTGTGGCTGGGGGGGGCCGCGACGCTACGCGCCGTTTTTGTTACGCATTAAGCACTATCTAGCATTAGCAATTTTTTTAAATTGATTTCTTTATTTGATGACAACACTTGTGACAAGTAAGAACGTGGGGTGGGGGCTAGCTTGCTAGCATTAGCAGCTAGCATTAGCATTTTTTTTATTGATTCTTTATTGATAAAAAAACATGGACAAGCAGAACGTGGGGTGGGGGCTAGCTTGTTAGCATTAGCAGCTAGCATTAGCATTAGCATTTTTTTTAATTGATTCTTTATTGATGAAAAAACATGGACAAACAGAACGTGGGGTGGGGGCTAGCTTGCTAGCATTAGCAGCTAGCATTAGCATTTGCATTTTTTTTTTATTGATTCTTTATGGATGAAAAAACATGGACAAGCAGAACGTGGGGTGGGGGCTAGCTTGCTAGCATTAGCAGCTAGCATTAGCATTAGCATTTTTTTTATTCTCTATAGCATTTTCTTGACCATGTAACCAGGCATGCTGTAGAGGAAAAGAGCCAGCATGGCCAGCAGCAGGAGAGCAGTGACAATTTTGATGGCCAGCCACTTGTACTGGTTGCAGACCAAGTGTTTTATGGCTTTGAAGGGAGTGAGGAACCACAGAAGGCTGGTGTCTGGGCGGCTGGAGGGACAGAAACACACGTGTTCAGTAATATAGACTTTAAGCACAATGGACCGTTTAACCGTCGGGTCGTTTCCTAAGTCAAATTTAAATGTAAATATAGCTGATACTACTGGAACATAAGGTAAAGCTAAAGGCAAGCCAGAATAACAATTAACAGTATCTTAGATGATTCTAAGCAGAAATACACAAAAGATAAGAAGAAAGAGCAACTTACCATGTAAAAAAAGATCTTAGGTAAAAGTCCAGAACTTGGTTGAAGTAAATCCGTATAAATGTCTTTCCTCATTTCATGAAATTGCTTTTGCTTATTGTTTTTTTATGTAGAATGTATCTTTCTTTATGCTTTTTTATGTATGTTAAAGATTTCATGTTTTATGTTTATGACAGATTTATATTTTTATTTATTCATTTATTTATTATAATTTTATTTATCATGATATTTATTTAATTTTTTTAACTTTGCAGGAGGTATTACGGTTCTTCTTAGTTCAGTGCAACCCAGAGGTGGGTAGTAACGCGCTACATTTACTCCGTTACATTTACTTCAGTAACTTTTGGGATAAATTGTACTTCTAACAGTAGTTTTAATGCAACATACTTTTTACTTTTACTTGAGTATATTTGTGAAGAAGAAGCTCTACTTTTACTCCGTTCCATTTATCTACATTACGCTCGCTACTCGCTACATATTTTTATCGATCTGTTAATCCACGCTTTGTTTGTTTTGGTTTGTCAGAGACCTCCAAAGTAGGATCCATCGCATGACTGCGTTTCACCAATCAAATGCAGTCACTGGTGACGTTTGACTCCGTTTCACCAATCAAACAGAGCCAGGCGGTCACATGCACACGAACTTTCAGCGTCAAACACCAGCAGCAAAGAAGCAGAACACAATGGCAACAATGAGCGCTTCGCGACAATTTTAATGTATTATTATTTAATTTATCATTGTTTTAGTTGCTTAAGAGATATTCTTGGCTATGAATTTGTTCATTGCTATTTTTATGTTTTTGTGCATTATTTGTTGCTGTCATCATTAAACGAACACGGTTACTCATCAGTTACTCAGTACTTGAGTAGTTTTTTCACAACATACTTTTTACTTTTACTCAAGTAAATATTTTGGTGACTACTCTTTACTTTTACTTGAGTAATAAAATTCTAAAGTAGCAGTACTCTTACTTGAGTACAATTTCTGGCTACTCTACCCACCTCTGAGTATCTCAGAATTATCCCTAAAAATCGTAGAAGTACATCACTTGATTCAATGCACTTTGATACTTTCCTGAACATTCTGTTCCTATGGCAACCTCTACTGGCACATTTCTTTCGCAGTTAACTGACATTGCTACATCCACCATTTTGTCTGAAGTTTGACAAAGCAAATATTGACAGGGGCCTTTTACCTACTCATCAAACGCCCGTGTTGGAGTAATATTTGTGAGTACCCTTTTTATTACAGTTGTTTTGTGGTTGCTCATGTAAATTTTATTACAGTTTAGTTTCTGTATCAACTTACTTTTGCTAACCAAGCTAGCCACTAGCTATATATTTGCTGCAGTGGCTGTATGTGTTGCTAATACTAACTAGCTGCTAATTGTGTTGCTCTGTGTATGTTAATTAGATTCATAACTATGCAGTACTTCCGTTGTATACTTATTGATTTGTCACTAGTGATACTTTCGTTGCTCACTTACGTCCAGTGTAGTTCCAATGGTGTCATTAAAATGGGTTGATCCCCACTAAGTAGTTCTTCAAGAGTGTAGTTACCCTCAGTAACTGCCAGGTGTAACCACTGCATTGCTAACTTAATCAACTAACAAAACTAACGTTTGCTTTCTAAATACAAGACGGTTGACATGTGCGGGCAACTTGTCGGGAGCACCTGGACATTTCCTGGTGGCCTAAGGATCGTCTAATGAATTGATGCACCTCTCAGAACCCATCCAGACTCAAGACGCACCCAGCAACCGTCTACTTACTTTTCCCCTAATAAAATTTTAGACAAAGGAGGGTCTTCATTGTCTTCGGAACAGGAAAGGTGGAGCAGAGAGGGACAGAACAAAAAAGAGAGAAGCCCTTGACACAGTAAGGCATACACACACGCGACATACACAGTTAATGTTCAAATTGATTGAAAATGTGTGTGTTAATTTTTTATTCTTTTGAATTGATATGCTGGAATATAAAGATAATCATGAGAACATTTAATCTAACTCTGTATCTCATTCCATTTTAAATTGTGTAGGCTAATTGTTTCGTGTGTCTAGCCTTGCTATAATTGGTGTAGCACACCATGAAAACTCAGTATTCAGATAAGCGACTTGTTGCTCAGGCCTAAATTTTTGTATTTTGTGGTCTGGATAGCTTTCCTCCCAGATGAACATAGGGGCCAAATTTAACTGGTATCTGTTCAATTAACAAGTAGGGTTTTGCTTCAAATTTAGTAATCTGGCTGTTTGAGTGAACAGGGTGGTCTGGGAAGAAGACATTTCCTGGCCTGAATTATTGTTTCAGTCTGCCCCCGACGGTCCATATATCTGACCTAAAGCATGATAAATTCAAATTCACAAAAAAATAAAAAATAAAACCATTATATCAAGTTAATATGATGTCAGGTTAGTTTTAATCGGGTATTTCACATTCAATTTCAATGGTATGTATACTGACAGTGTTAATCCTATATACGTTCACTATTGCAGCAATATCATGAAGTTTTAGTTATGAGAGCATGCGATGTGCTTATTACGGTACAACACTGAACAGAACAATTCTCTGCCACTTTTTTTCTCCAAGTGAGGAAATGGAATATTATAGTTCACATAATCAGGTTGAAATTCATATACATTTTTAAGCACTTCAAGATCCAATTGTCAATAAAGCGTATGTATTACTTAAAAAAATGATAAAAACAATTGAAATTATCAGAGTTATCATATTGATATTTATAGAGTGTTGATTGATTCTTAACTCAGGCATTGTGGAGCATGAAAGAAAACATTTCACCTTAAAAAAAAAAAAAAAAAAAACTTCATGAAGTCAGCCAGAACGTATGTAACTTTGCAAAAATTAGAACAGAGGTTACATGACCTTCGAAATGAGCCACAACTTGTGTGCACCAATACAAAACAAATAGCACTTCACCTCATGACGACAACACCAACTGAGAAGTGTTTCTCTGTTCATATTGATAAGGGATATGAGCAGTCTTCCAGATACACACTGAAATCCAGGTCGGCGCTCTAGGTACAGCAGGCTGAACCCAGATCAACTGCAGTGTCCAGTGAACAGTTAGTGTCTGGCGTTAGAAATTGTAGCAGTCAAGTCAACACTCAGAGTGGTTCTGTAGGTAATGGTTAAGTTAAGAGTTTATCAGTTTGTTAGGTGGATCTGGCCTCCTGAGTTTAAACATTATTTCCAGAGTTCATCTTGGCCATCTTCTGCTGAAGGATCTTGATCTCCAGGCTGAGCTTCTCCCTCTCCAGCAGCAGGTTTCCTCTCTTCAACTCCAGGAGATCCTCGTCCATTGCCAAGAGCCTCTGTGGTATCGGCTGAGCCTGCTGCTGCGTATTTAGACCTGCACAGGAAAAACCCATGATTCACTCAATCCTGCAGCTACAGGCAGCTACAGGTGAGGAAGGCTGAGTTTTAAACAAATGGTTGAGTAGTTTTAAAAACCCAATCTTTATTTAACAATAACTAAACATTTATTTTACAGTTATCATTAATAGCAGTAGTAGTAGTATAACAATAAGTATGTGAATATAATCATGCTGGTTACCATCCTCTTCATCGGTTATCTTAGTTATGGACTTCAGCTCCACCTCCACAGGGTAATGGTCGCTCACTTTCAGAGCCTGGAAGATAAATTATTTATTAATTGACAATCACTGTGTGAGCTATTATGCACTTCTGGATAAGTGTAAACCAAGTAATATCGGGTTCACTAGTAACTTATTTCAGTAATTTGTATCCATATAAATCCATTATGAACCAAACTTATAATTCTATTTCTGGGAAATATAGATGCAACATTGCACATCATTTATTTTTTCAACAAAATAATTATATGAAAATGAAGACTGATTGGATTTCCTCTAGCACCACCTTGAGGCCAAAATGCAAACTTTGCACCCATGAGTATTCAATGGCTGGATTGCCATGAAATCGCATCGCTGCATCGGTCAAATAATCCACAAAGGTTTTACAGAGGACCTGTCATTCTCTTCACCGGTCCTCTCTGTGTGCCTGTCACTGAGAGCATGCTGCTTGCATGTATACAAGAAGAAACTGTTTGAATTAAGACAAAGGCTCTAAGGCACAACAACTGACCTGCTCCTCACTAAGTCCATATGCCTTCTGGAAGTTGAAGGGTTTGGCAGAGTTTGGTACGACAGCCTGGAGCATGTCGTCCCCGTAGACGACGATCCTGAACAAAGACATTCAGCATGTAATTCACAGTCAGTCACAATATATTTATATTGACGACAAAAATAAAACAAACACAAATTTAGAAACACAATAGTGTAAAGCGTAAAATACTATTAAGATATGTAATGTAATAAACTTTTTTGCAAAGAGGTGCATGAAAAGATTGAGGCCACTCTCCTCTCTCTCATCAAATTAATATCGTATCTTAGCATAAACTCTGTTGACAGGGAAAGCCTAGTTCTCATCTGTGTCCAGTCTTTGTGTTAGGCTGTGCAAAATGACTCCTCACTTCATTTTTAACAGCTAGATATTGAAGTATTATCAGTGTACTTGTCTAAATGTACACAAGTGTACCTCCCAGAATGTTGGTGTGAATGGGTGTGTCTTTATCAGTAGTTTAAGAGATTCAAGATTAAGATATTAATAGCCTATGATTAATCTTAAAAAAGGTATTAAACAATACGATAAATTGTTACAGTTGTTGTAAGTTGTTATAACCTAATAAAGCCATTATAAAGTTATTATAATGTGGTAGTGGTATTATAGAGGTAGCGCTAATTTGAACTACTTATAATACATAGACAGTTTATAACATCCTATTTATTCCATTCTGTTTGTTTGTGTTACCTGTCGTATGTGTGGTTGTTTCCGGTGCTGGCCGTGGTGTCGACATCATCTCCAATCAGCCAGTGGAAGTTCTTGTTGCTACGGATACTGATGTCCTTCATCTCTTTCTTGGAGACGTACGAGCCATCGGCATTGAAGTCGCCCAGGATCATCACGTTCTGGAGCAGAGAGGAGGCAGAGCAGCAGCACCAAGTGTCAACAACAGTCTGCGTCTCTAACAGGTGAAGTAGTCTGTGGGGTTCTTATCTGACTCTGGGTAAAACAACAAACACCTTTATTTCTCATAATGTTGGATTGTGCTTTTGATGAGTTCCTGCGCTACCATGTCTGAAGAAAAAATACAGTCTTGAATGGAGTTTTAAACAGTTTTTCAGCATAATATTATTTCCACAGCCTTTCTGTTGGATCAGTGATTCCCTTTCCTTTTTTTGTTACGGTACAAAAAGGTGGGTGTTGTTGAATAGCTGCCAATAACATAGAAGAATTTCCACAACAGTTGAGGTCTGGTTTGGTTTTTAGTGGCAGAAGCTGAATGTTTCAACCATTTATTCATAACTTTTAGCAGTTTCAAACATTTGATCACCAATAGTCTAATTTTAGCTTCTATCGTTTTCGACTGTATTTCCAAAACTTTTACCTGTGTATGTCAACCATTTTTCCAATACTTTTAACCATTTCAGTATTTATTTTATAGTTAACTATTATGACTTTACTTTTAGCTATCTATTTCAACAATGCATCCAACACTTTTAGCTTTTTTCAGTATTTATCCACTACTTTTAGCCAACAATCCGTTACCATTAGCTAAATCAATTTTTTTCATTATGTTAGATCATGTTTCGTATTGTCACACTGTCTTGTACTGATGTCATGTCCTTACATCAGTCCTCCACTTCTCCTTGACCTGCAGGAAGACATGGTAAAGCTCATCCAGCTCCTTCTCTGAGTCCTCTGGTTTGGTGTGAACTGGGATCATCACAAGGTCCTTCAGCACTATGGTGGGTGCACACACAGACACACAAACACAAACGCACACCTTTACATTCAGTCAGACTAACCCTATCCGACAGGAAGCCCACTGCAGGTATTCTTTCCTGTAAACTAACCCAAACTTAACCCAAAATCCAAACCTGTGCCTGAACCCTAATCTAAAGAGGGGAGAACAGGCAAAGCGTTGTTGCGTTTTCCTGGATATTGATATTTTGATATATTAGGGTTTCTTGTGTGAGTGTCCTCTACCTGTATTGAGGCATCTGAATCGCAGGATGTAGGGATCTCTAGCGAAAACGTCTCCTCCCACAGTCGTCTCATCATCAAACTGATAGGAGCCCACCAAGTCAACCATGTCATCTCTACACACACAAACACACACACAAGTTTAATCGCCACATTATATTTTGATTATGCAGCTTCAGAATGTCCCTTTGATCAGAGATATCTGTAGCTATAAGGATTCTGTTCTTACGAAATGAATGAACTCATCTAGAATGATGTAATGTTTACCAGCTCAAATAATCTTGTAAATATTTATTCAGCTACCTGAACTATGTGAAGTTAGCTAAGCAGCAGCAGTTATTTTAAAACTGACTTTGTAAATATACGCTGAGTGTAAAATGAAATCCTGTTTCAAGTAAACAACACATTGATGAGACACTAAAACAAGGCCAATATCTGATGTTGGTGCATATAGATAAAAAAATACACCTTTTCAGATAGTTGTACTTGAACACATCTCTTTTTCTGTGGCTTCTAGTTAAATGCTCGGTGTTCACTATGTTCTGTATTTTCTATTCTCTTTCTGTATTTCCCCCCCAAAATGGCTAAACCAACTCCCTCTATGTTGTGTAAGGCTCTGCAAAAAGTATATATATATGTTGACTGTTGACAAGATAGTCTAAGAAGTTCCTGTGGACATTTGGATTCTTTTTTTCTGATGCGAAAACCCTGAAACACTGTTATACTGACAAACTGCTGTACAGGCTTTAACCTCTTTATAACTCATAACTGATCTTAGTCTCAGCGGTGAGAACCTGCTGCAGGTGAACTCTCACCTGTACAGGAACATGAACTGCTCCTTGTAGCGCGTTCGACCCAGACGAGTGCTGATCTTCAGAGTGTAGTGATGCCTTTTGTTGGATCTGAGAGACAGAGAGAAAGACAGAAACTGTTGGTATTTAAAAAGGTTTAAAGAGCCTTAGATCAAACATCTTTTCAACGCTGTGTGTATTCTATAGCAGCTGGAAGCATTGTCACAGATGTTCAGAGAAATTCAAAACTATCATACTATTTTTGCCTGACACACACACATACATACACACAAATGAAACACTATTTAGGCATGCTAGCAGCGTGGCTCTAGGGATGGCAATGTTGATGTATCAGTCCATCACTTTGGTCCGAACTGAAATATCTCAGCATCTGTTGGATGGATTGATGTGAAATGTATTTCTGACATTCATGGTCCCCAGAGGATGAATCTTACAGTCTGGTGATCCTTTGACTTTTCTTAAAGCGCCACCATCCATTGTGCTTTTGTTGTAAATATCTCAATGACTCTCACATGGGTTGCCATGAATTTTGGTACAAACATTCATGTTCCCCTTTGGTTGGATTGAAATGACTTTGGTGACCAAAAATTGGTTATCACTGAATACCTGTAAAACTAATGACATTCCCATCAGTGACAGCTGGTACAGTAATATTTCAATATTTATATTATTTTGGTACTGTATAAGATAAGATATAGTTGATGTCAGAATTTCCTTAACATCAGCATGTTAGCGTTGTCATTGCAAGGACGTGAGCATTAAGCTCAAAGGACCAGTGTGTCTAAGTTCTGCCTCAACAAGCTCCCTGAGATTAATGATAATAGTAATAACAGAAACAGACACTTACTTGTTGAGTGCATCCAGGAAGGTTTCTACAGATGTCCCGCTGATGTCCACCACTTCCAGGATCACAATGATGTCATAACGAGACACAATCTGAGGGGCGGAGGGAGAGCGAGTGAGAGACTGACCTTAGTGAGACATCAGTTTACCATGTAAAGTCTGAAATATGGAGGATCAAAGTTTATCAAGAATAAACAAGACTAGGTCGAAAACTAGCACATGACTGGACCGCATCATAGGCTATTTGCATTCTGCCTATATCAGCCTTTCCTTATCGCCTCCTCTCTGTGCTCACATATACAGTATTTTAATACAGCCAAATTTCCAGTACAGCTGTTCTCATTTACATGTTTTTTCTATTTCTCTTAGTGACTGAAACAGCCCATTAAGATTAAATGTTAACCAGCAGTCACTTCCAAGCCATTTCCAAGCTGCTGCTCTGCTGCTGCTTTATAACCACGACATTGTCTGACAACATCACCAAACACATACTGTAAGTTAATGACAACGGCTGTGCTGTAATTTCAGCTACCTATTTGTAAAATGATTACTCAGAGAGAAAGTTAGAAGCTCATTCATATCAACTGCCACTCAGAGAGATCAGAGAGATATCGACTGCTATAAGGTAAAGACCAACCTCACACTCACAGGACAGTACTGTGACTGTCATCTACGGAAAGTCACTTGGGTTTGTCAGAAAAGTCGCTGGATTTGTCACTAGGTGCTTCTTTGAAAAAAAAAAAAAAAGTCTGTCATGGAGTCTGAAAAGTCAGGAAATCTAGTGAAAAAGGCGCTACTATGGCAACACTGCTTGATCGTGCTTAATCATTTTGAAAGAGCAACGACCAATGAGGAAACCAAACTCAGTTAACCCTGTCACTCAGTCAGTCAGTCACAGATATTTGCATAGATAGACCTGGCCCCGCTTGTTGTTGAGTAAGTGAGTAATGTGGAATGAATTTCTCAATGTCTTAATGCGTCTTATATATTCATTCTTTTGTTGTTAATTTATCAATATATTTGACCATTTTAATCATTCAGTTTCCTAAAGGTGAACTAATTAAATGGCTTAGCTGACCAACAAAAATGATAACTTTTCCTCCTGTAAAAAGAAGAAATGATAAGGATAATAAGTGACAGATGTCTCTGTGTGTGTTTTCGTACAGGTTGTTGGTACCTTAGTCAGGATCTTGAGAATATCTGGGTCTGACACTTTGTTTTTTCCAAACTTCTGGATGTTAAAAGATGCTATTTTCATAGTGGCTGCGGAGAGAAAAGAAATGACAGAAATTGAGTGGAAACATTATTGGAATTTTAACAGGTTTGTTTATGTCTGAAAACATGCACAAGTATGTGTGGTATTACTGTATTGTGTATACGTCAAACAAGCTGTTACTGCGTGTGTGTGTGTGCGCGCGCATGCGTGTGCGTGCGTGTCAACAGCAGCTGTAAGTCGTATAACCTAATGACAACTCACCTGAGGCCTGTGTAAGAGATTACAATGAGAACATGCTCATTTAGGTTTAACCACACACTATAAAGATAAAATACTGTTGGCTCTATGTTACATTGGGTCTACAGTCTGTTTTATTCAGTGTGTTTCACCTTAATTTCTTCAGGGAGGAAACAGACATGAACAAACATTTGAAAGAAAAAAACATGGCAGTTCTTCTCAGCTGAAAATAAATATGATAAAATGTGAAGAATTCCCATGACAAATTAATTTGACAATTTTATCATTTCATCAGCACTGTTTTCAGTAATTGTTCAAATAGCTAAATTATCATTAGAAAAGATTTTTGAATGATTAAATGAAAACATTTTACAATAAGCCACAGGAACATAACAAACCCACATAAGTAGTTAACCTTTAAATCATGTCTTGGTTGTGGTTTTATCGATTTTATAAAAAAGAAACCCCCCCCATTGAGTCCACATTGGCCACAGTATTTGCACTTAAGTCGCAAAAAACAGACATTAATTGCGGAGCTCTTCAGGCTTTTTTTGTTAGTTCTTGTTAATGTCATGAGCTGTTTTTAGATTCCTCCTAAACTCACTCCAGATGAGCTCAATTTTCAACAAAAACTCTCTGAGGAAAAACATGTCAGACTTGTTCTAACAGGTTTAGTCACAACACCTTTAAGACGCCCCCTCCCAAATCCTCTTGTCTCCACTGATGTGACTGAGCATACCTACAGCAAACCTGTACATCAACACATGACATGCTCTTTGTTGGGGTATACGCAAAGACATGTAGGCCTACGAATATAACTAACAGACAGTCAGTAATGAAACGGGTCCGTTTTTCCCGCAGTGTGTAGCTCATAACCCGCTGCTACTGATTAAAGTAAACTTTGAGATCTTGACTATAGAATCAAAACATTTGATCAGCTGATAAAATATGATGCAGCTGTAACTTTACAATGTGGATTACAGATCAATGTACCTGTATTAATATACCAATAATTTAATGTACATTATAGGATAACACTCCAAAAGACATTCTGTATAATAACCTCTTTTACTCTTGATAATTGAAATGCTTGCTGTAATAATTGTAAGTTAAAACTGAAAATGTGACTGAAAAAACACTGAATTAAAGACTATTATCGAGCATTTTACACTCTTTTATTGCTACTTTTACTGCAGTAATTACCTAAAACGTATGATAATGAGACACAACCCTCATGTTGACAGAAAAGCTGACAGACTGCTCTTACCTGTTTACATTTTTAATTAATTAGCTTCACATCTGTTCAGATCTACTAAGGATATGAATAATAAACAGGAAATTAATAAAGCAAGGGAACATCTATAGAGCTGAAACAATAGGTTGATTGACAGAAGATGAATTTTGATAATTTGATAATTTAAGTGACTTAAAGCAAAACTGCCAAAAAAAAAAATCCTCTGGTTCAGCTTGACAAACATGAATATTTGTAACTTAATAATATTTTTAAAAAATACATAATATTTAATCTTCTATAATAGTAAATTAAATATCTATAAGACCAGCAGTTTGAAGACATCACCTTGGGCTCTAGGAAATTGTAATGATCATTTCTCATGATTTTCTGAAATTTCATTGACCGAATTGATTAATTGAGGTAATAATTAGCAGATGAATTGATAATGAAAGTAACTGTTAGTTGCAGCCCTGTTTCTATTCGGCCATTCATACAGAGAATCATGAGGATGGGGGTGTTGCTGTTTGTTTTTCCTGCTCTGTTGTCTCTCATTGGTTACTCCCTGTGGTTGGACAGGTGACACATGAAATGCAACCAAAACCCATGGCAGCTGTGTGTGTGTGTGTGTGTGTGTGTGTGTGTGTGTCTGGTGGAGGTTGTCCAACTAGTCTGAATTTTTGTCGTTCTTCAGCCTGGTAATGAGTAGATACTGTACCTGATAACAGTCACAATGTGCCAACACACACACACACACACACACACACTAAAACATGGGACTGTAAACACTGGAATCAGATGTCAGTGTTGCCCTGACAAGTTTTACCTCTTAAGACTTTTACACTGTTGCTGCAATTTGTTTCAGCAGTTAATTCTCATTCAAGTGATAACCTGTCTGCTCTCACTATCGACTGTAAAATAATTAAAAGATGAAAAGAAATGAACTTTAGCTGAACTTTAACTCTAGCTTAAACCCTTGCCTCCCAAAATGTTTTGACTTGGCTTGACTCAATAGTTTGGTTTAGGCGCAGAGCAACTTGGTAATGGTTAGGGAAGGATCATAGTTTGGCATAAAAGAAACCAAAATTGACTTTTGAATTTGAATGGCCAATACAGGTTAAACAGAAGTTGTTCTTAGGCATTCTCACATATTTCAGTCTCTATATCCAGCACTGTCGTCAGATCCTGGGCCCTATTAGGGAAACTTCCTAAATTGCCGATCCTATCTTTAGTGTTTGGTTAAGATAGGATGGTACAGTATGGTAATTAGGGTTAGGACTTGATTTAGGAGAAAAAGCCATGACAGATGAATAGCTCCTAAGTCAATGTTCTTATCCTAACTGAGGATAGGAAGAGTGTTTTGCACAAGCTTCCTAACTTCCCAAAAAATTAACCATCTATGACATGACAACCATCAATCTGTCCTTTTCCACCATAGCGAACTTTTTAAATCCATATAGTTGCTCTTTTATTGCTTTTACACAACCAACGAAATGTCAACAGGATGAGCTTATTCATTGAGAGACTCATGACAGACCTCAACGATGTGTTGCGGTTTGATAACAAAACACTCGTTAATAGATACAAGCTATTTTAACCCACTCTCGCTCTTATCTCCTGGGTTAACGTCGTTGTAAATTTCCCCAAAAAAATATCTTCGGATTCTGCAGCTGCAACTAACACTCCTAACTCCTCTGTCTTGAAGTTAAGTGTCCATTGTTGTTTTAGGTCCATTTCTTGTAGGTATCAATGAGAAGGTAGGTGGTAGAGACCAAAATCAGAGCTAAAAGATAGTGATTATTAGATTTATATTAAGTAGCTGGACACAAACATGACTCCAAATGAATGATAATGTTGCTCCGAAACTGCTTGGTGTGAAAATAAGCAACTATTTGTTAATACGTTTGCAATATCTGTTGCCTCTAAGTGGCCAAAAAATCAGTTCAGTTAGCAGGAGTAGGTTTTGGTTAAGAGAAGAGTCTGAGGATCTGAGACTGAGATGTCCTAAAACTGCCAACAAACAGAAAAAAGTATCAAGTATCAACATGGCCGGGCCTTCTTCTCTGGCATCTCCCTCAGGACAAACTTTGAAGTTTTTGTGCCACAGTACATGAAGGATCTAAGAATAGCAAATCTGTCTCTCCATTTTTAACCCATCCAATAATTTTTTTTTTCAGTTGAATAGTAAATATATGATCTTATCATCACTAGTGAACCAGTGTGTGAAAGCACAAATATTTGAACAAAAGAAACAGTGTATACATCCAGCAGCTGGCTGGGGGCTTCAAGTTTCACTGTTACTATATGTCTTTGTTTACTGTCGACCACATCCTGCAGCTGAACACTAAAGCCAAAAGGTGAAAAAAAACTCAAATCCCTTACATTAGTAAAAGTAGCAAACACAGACATGATGTGCAGTAAAAGTTGGTAAAATCAAAAAAATACCAGTCCCTGCGATCGATTTTAGTAAGTTAAATTAAAGATTTGAGTTCCTCTTCTGCCAAAAACATAGCAAGAAATGATCAGCAATACGTCAGATCTCTACTTGAATGACTCGACTATGACATTCCACCTGTAGTTTTAGGCGTAGAGATGGAGGAAGGCTGTTTCTTTTGTCTAAAGACAGGTAAAGCCTTTCAGGTATTTCACAGAGCAAGGAATACCAGACAAACAAACAAGCTGTTTCTCACCTGAGCGAAGAGTCTGACAGGGACTTGGATCAGATCTGTTTGTTCCCAGTGAGGTTTAAATAAAGTGAAGAACAAGAAGGAAAACCTTGTGGACTTCACAATGGAAAAAAAATTCCTGGGTCTGTAGTTGGTGCTTGGGCAAGCAGTATATAGAGGGTGACCACGGGCAATGCGATTGGTCGGGAGCCAACCAATAGTGGGGGCTGGACATAGACAGACAAACAAAACAAGTATCCCGCCCTGAATAATTTGTTCCTGCTGTTAGGTGTAAAAACGTGTGTGCGTGCGTGCATGTGTGCGTGCGTGCGTGCGTGCGTGCGTGCGTGCGTGCGTGCGTGCGTGCGTGCGTGCGTGAGCATATTTTTAGAGGGACCTGTATGCTTGACTGATGCTAATGGAGGGTATTATAAACACTTAAGTGTCAGACTGTCAGTCTGAACATTTTTTTCATCCGGTCTTTATGTTCTGAAAAGCAGACCATAAACAGGAGCTTTGAAGTGTGTGTGTGTGTGTGTGTGTGTGTGTGTGTGTGTGTGTGTGTGTGTGTGTGTGTGTGTGTGTGTGTGCGTGCGTGCGTGGGAGAGAGAGGGAGGGAGGATGTTGTCTGCCCTCAGTTGCTCAGCAGCAACTCTACAGAGATGTGACATGGCACACCCACAGGAAATTGTTTACCCCCCAGAATACCATATATACTATACAATCCAAACCACAGTAGCTCAAGTATATAGTAGATGTATACTGTACATATATACTAACACAATACTACAGTAACAGGTGATTCTATTAATTTCTCCATCCCATTTATTTGAAACAACAGAAACACGTCTCTGTATAATGCAATACAGTTCACCAGCAGAGTGTACATGTAAAATGACTCTTCACGTGGGAGCAGACTTACACTGACATCAATAAAACTTTAATGTAAGTATATTCACTGCTTAGTACTAGCTACTGCCCGGTGCTGTGATGGTTTGTTTTCTACACGAGTGCGAGTTTCAGCAGACTGACTCAGTCACACCCACTCTCCTTGTGTTGCTAATGCAGTCGCAGCTTTGGGCAGTTCACTGATGATTAAGTCATCAACTGTGTGATGTCTGGCACTCAGCACTCAGTGTTTGACGAAACCTGATTAAATTAACAGAATCCCTCTCTCTCTTTTAAAAATCACTAGAACTACCTTTCTCTCTCCATTTCTTGAACTTACTCGAACTCTTTCTCCAAAAAAATGCTCGGCCCTTATTTGTTACTTCACACACCTGCAGCTTTGTGGCACTTGTATCAGGTGAAGTGTGAAACTTGCGTGTTGAGACACTTTTTAATGAAGACTTCTTTTTAATCTTCTCTGGTTTGGATTGTACCTCATTTGTGCTTACAGCTAATAGATGGATGAGCAGGCAAAAGTTTTTGGAACTTATCTCGAATCGACTCGGTCTCCTTCCTTCTCATCTCTCTACATCTGATATAGCAATTCTTGCTGCATGTGTTTTCCTTGTTTGTATGTTTTTTTATTCGTTTTTTTCCCTTAACGTTTCTCCTGTAATGTTATCTTATGTCCTATCACAGTATCCTGCCTCAACAAGAAATACATCAAATTAGATGGAGGTTCACACAAAGTAAAACCGAAGGCGTGTCACTGTATGGGAGATACTGACAGAGAGAGGAAAAGATGATTCTCAGGTAAAGGTCGGTGGAAACTGAAACGCCAAAATAAACTACATTTGTTTTCTTTAAGTGCTCCCCCACAATTTGTGATTCACTTGTGTTTGACAGGTGATATGTGTTCTCAGCTGTAATTAAAATTCCAGTAGTTCCAGTAGTTTCCACACTGAACTGTGCAACAGGAAGATGCTGGCAGCCGCCTACATCCCCTAAAAGAGTGTCTCTGTTTATTACAACTTGGGTTTTATTTCACTGTTTTGTCCATCATTTTGGTAATACACAGAAATGAGTGAGGAATCTCATTATAATTGATGAATCACTAATAAGTCGGTACTTATTAACTATGAATCGAGGTCTAGATAACAGGATAAAAGGAGTGGCCAATCTGTCATCTACATACTGACACCTTCTCTTCATGAGTTGTTTGTGATTAACTCTTTACCAGTTGCTGAGCAGCTCTGAACTAATCTTTTTTTTTTAATTATTATTATTTTTACTAATTACTTAAACTTGCAACAATTGATTTTCCCCCCGCTTTTAGCCACTTGGGGGCAGTAGAAACAAATTGTGAACAAGTTGAGAACAAGATATTGACATATCATTACATTTTGATGTAGCAAAGTTGTTAGCAAACAGGTTCCCGCTTACACATCCAGCAGTTACAGAGCAACGTTATCATCCATGTGGAGTCGTGTTTCGGGACCTTTTAAGAAGTCGAATGCTCCCTCTCCTTTAACTCTGTTTTTGGTCTCCACCAACTCCTGAGGGAAATACCTTGCTCTTTAGCTGCTGAATGTTGCACTATGTTCTTCCAAGAAAAGTTGAATTAAGGGTCTCTGGACTTGATTAAAGATACATGAAGATGTTTCACCTTCTTCAGTTCTGACGAATCCTCTTCAGGCTTCATTGTTGCTTCATGCACCTGCAGCCTTGTGGCAGGTGGAACATGAAACTGAGTGTTGAGACACTTTTTCACTTTATCTCTCTGATCTACTTTGGTTTGGATTGTACCTTATTTGTACGTGACCTTGGACAAATCTGTTTGCTGCTGTGTAGGTAGTGCACAGTGGGTTTCCTGTTGTGGACAAAGACGAAACAATGAGAGCGTGACAGTGAACCAACAGAGAAGATCAGTAAAGATTCAGGTGATAATCTTCTGTTCATCACAGTGAGTGACCCCTTTCACATTTTCACATTGTTTTTTACATTTTCATTTGACATATTATGAAAAAATCAATAGCAGCTGCTTTAAACATTAGTTATTAGTTTTTCTGCCTGTTTTTGTGAGAAACATCACACCAACTAGCTACTAGGTAATCCCTCATTACTTCATGATTATCTTACCATTACGTACCCAGGTTGTTCTCTCTCATTCGTTGGTGACGACTCTCAGTTTTTTATACCATATTGGAAAGTGTTACCTTTTTGTCTTTGTTCTTGTTTGTCATCTTTAAAATATCTGCTTTCCCCTTGACTTTTATTGAATCTTATATCTTTATAAATTATCTTAATTTTCTGCACTTAGTCCAATTTTATCAGATATGTTTTGTCTCTGTGTAACTTTTGTTTTGGAAAGTAAAATATTGATAAATTTGATTTTTTTTTTTTTTTACCAGTATTTGTACAGCACTATTAATGGCAGCCATGGTGGTTATTTGTTTTCCTTTCATTTCTTTTTGAGATGCTGGGAAGCAAACAAAAAAGATGGGAATGACAGCGTGAATGAATTTAGTTTCATGTGTATTTTTCCATTGAAACAGGAACACGGACAAGACTGAACCCGCCATGTTTTTAAGAAGTCTTCCTAGGAAAGGTATGTTGTAATAATGAGGTGACCTGAAGGCAGTGTGACACTTGTATTTGCCACATTTATTATTTGCGCTCCTAAAAACAAAACACATCAACAGTCTGACAAAGCTCCACCTCATGTCTTATGTCATCATGACAAACAGGAATTAGGGCTTGTTTTCTTCACTGCTTGCCAGGGGAGCCGCGCACACTGAGAGACAGATTATAAATTAATTTTCATAACTGAAGGAAGAGAGGAAGAAGAGGCCGGAAAACCGGAAAACTGAATATTTTCACTTCCAACTGCTGACTGAAAAAGAAAAAACAGTAATTAAAATGGAAATTAACTGAGGGAATTCGATACAGCAATATAGGGAAACAACCGACTGTCTTCCTGTTTTAGCGTTCTGTTCTTAGCTTCACTCTGAGAGAAAATGGCTTCAGCTGAGTCAGAGTCTCTCTGCAGGCTGCACTCTGAGAAACTGAAACTCTTCTGTCTGGACCATCAGCAGCCGCTGTGTCGTCTGTCGAGACTCAAAAACACACACCGACCACACATTCAGTCCCATCAATGAAGCTGCACAGGATCTCAAAGAGAAACTAGACAAATCCCTGAAGCCCTTACAAGAGAAACTGAAGCTGTTTGAACAAGTTAAAGGAAACTTTGATCAAACAGCAGAACACATTAAGGTCCAGGCCCAACACACAGAGAGGCAGATTAAGGAGCAGTTTAAGAAGCTTCACCAGTTTCTAGAGGAGGAAGAGGAGGCCAGGATCACTGCTCTGAGGGAGGAAGAGGAGCAGAAGAGTCAGATGATGAAGGAGAAGATGGAGGCTCTGAGCAGAGAGATAGCAGCTCTGTCACACACAGTCAGAGCCACAGAGGACGAGCTGAGAGCTGAAGACGTCTCATTCCTGAGGAACTACAAGGTTACAGTGGAAAGAGTCCAGCAGCGCCCCCTGCTGGATGATCCACAGCTGGATTCAGGAGCTCTGATAGACCAGGCCAAACATCTGGGCAACCTGACCTTCAACATCTGGAACACGATGAAGGACATGGTCTCCTACAGTCCTGTGGTTCTGGACCCAAACACTGCTCATCCAGGATTCATCCTGTCTGAGGATCTGACCAGTGTGAGACGAGTACAGAGACAGAAGCTTCCTGACAATCCAGAGAGGTTTGACTATTATCGCATCGTCCTGGGCTCTGAGGGTTTGACCGCAGGAAGTCACAGCTGGGATGTCGAGGTCAGAGACAATACAGGCTGGGTCCTGGGTGTGGCAGCAGAGTCTGTCCAAAGGAAGGGAGACATAAAGTCTGGATTGTGGCGACTAGGATTGTCTGATGGTAAATACGCAGCGGTGTCACCATCAGATCCCCACATTGTTGTCTCGGTGAAGAAGAAGCTCCAGAGGATCAGAGTTCACCTGGACTGCGACAAAGGGAAACTGTCGTTCTCTGATTCTGATGCTAACACACACATTCACACCTTCACACACACTTTCACTGAGAGGCTGTTTCCATACATTAGCAATAGGAATGCACTCCAACTAAAAATGTTACCAGTGAAGGTCTCTAACACTGAAATAGCTTAGTCGGTGATAGAGATGCGGTTTGAATAGTAATCATTTTTTAAATAGCAATACTCAACAATTACAAGTCATTTCAAGATATCTTATTTTCATTCTATGTATGTTTACATGGGTGAATTTCAAATACTCACGTATAGGCTTACAATGTGGCGCTGAAAGGTTTGATGCTTGCTCCTTTATTCCCTTTGGATTTCCAGAACCTACATTAGATTCCTATGTCGACCCAGAGTCACAGCAAAATGCGCTGTATCAAGAAGTACATGTAAACTTCTCAAATCACTTCAACATAATCAGCTTCTCTTTGGTTGATGTTTAAACTGGATGATTTCTTCCTTCTCTTTTGGAGCGCTTTGGTTAGTGTTGATGTTATACTGGGCAATAAAAATCCATTTGACTTGACTCTTGACCTCCTGTGTCAGTACTGTCAGTAAAATGTAATAGGCTTTAACATGCAGCCAGAAGACAGTGAAAATAAGGTTTTGCCACAAGCATGTTTCATATCTCAGGTATATCATAAGAAGCAATGTGATTATACTGATCAAACATGTCACTCTGTGCTCATTAGCTTTATAGCTAACATAACATTATATAGCTAAACCTGTTTGCTAGTTAGAGTACCAAGGAGCTTACTGATGTTAACTAATGTATATTAAAGTCTGCTCACAAATGAGAAGCATTTATATTTTCAGGGGTCGTTTGTCATCCAGCACAGGTCTTAGTTTTGATGGGAATTGTAGTTATCCTTCATGAATTTGCCAAATGGAAAGCAAAAGTCATCATTTAACATCCAGGTTAGCCTCTGCTCCACTAGCATCAGTAACTCAACGCAACTCTAATTCAGCATTTCTTCCATCTATTTGACTAATTGTCAAATAAATAAATAAAGGAAAAAAACAACTGACAACATTTGTTATTTATGTAAGTAACATATACAACAGAGTCAAGTACTTTTCCTTTGAAGCTCAAATTAGCCACGGCCACAGACAAAGATTTATACAGCGACTTTACTCACTTATAACTACAAGTCTCCAAGGTAACCTTCTAAACATTTATGTTTTTAATTTTCTAAACAGGAATCTGCTATGTAATTTTCTTTTTCATTTTCTAGTTGATAACATAACAAAGAGTTAGGGCTGGTGTCTTACTGCTGCTCTTGAAGAATAAAAACCCACATTGACGGTGCTGGGGAAGGAAATTCAGGCCTTGTTTGTTACATAACTGCTCAACGTCTGACAGAGATTGCCAGACAAAGCTCCACCTCCAACTCACCTGAGACTAACCAGGAAATAGACTTGTTCCTCCACGACAGACTTTGAGAGACAGACAATAAGAATCTCTTCCAGACCAGATCCACAACTTCCCCTGAGAGGAAAGATACAACACAAAATACTGGGAGCAACATTTAACAGCGTTATCCTGCTGATGACTGCACACACAGACTGTGAATTTAAAGAAGGAAGTGAAACTGCTCAGAGTGATTATAACTTTCAGGGAACTTTCTAGGGAGTGGACTGGCTTCCTGTTTAGGGCTCTGTCTGGTCTGTGTGTTTTCAGCCTCACTGCAAGAGAAAATGTCTTTCCGATCACAGGAGGATCTCTCCTGTCCAGTCTGCCAAGACATTTTTAAAGATCCTGTTGTCCTGTCGTGCAGCCACAGCTTCTGCAGAGACTGTCTGCAGAGCTGGTGGAGAGGGAAACCTATACAGGAATGTCCAGTTTGTAAGAGGAGATCATCAAGGAGTGAACCACCTCGTAACTTGGCTTTAAAAAACCTGTGTGAGACTTTCTTACTGGAGAGAGAGCAGAGAGCAGGATCTGAGTCTGTCTGCAGTCTGCACTCTGAGAAACTCAAACTCTTCTGTCTGGACCATCAGCAGCCAGTTTGTCTCGTCTGCAGAGATTCAAAAACACACAACAACCACAGATTCAGACCCATCCATGAATTTGCACAGGATCACAAAAAGGAGCTTCAGAAATGTCTCAGGCCTCTACAGGAGAAACTGAAGCTGTTTGAACGAGTTAAAGGAAACTTTGATGAAACAGCAAAACACATTAAGGTCCAGGCCCAACACACAGAGAGGGAGATTAAGGAGCAATTTAAGAACCTTCACCAGTTTCTAGAGGAGGAAGAGGAGGCCAGGATCACTGCTCTGAGGGAGGAAGAGGAGCAGAAGAGTCGGATGATGAAGGAGAAGATGGAGGCTCTGAGCAGAGAGATAGCAGCTCTGTCACACACAGTCAGAGCCACAGAGGACGAGCTGAGAGCTGAAGACGTCTCATCCCTGAAGAACTACAAGGTTACAGTGGAAAGAGTCCAGCAGCGCCCCCTGCTGGATGATCCACAGCTGGACTCAGGAGCTCTGATAGATGTGGCTGAATACCTGGGCAACCTGACCTTCAACATCTGGAACACGATGAAAGAGAAGGTCTCCTACAGTCCTGTGATTCTGGATCCAAACACTGCTCATCCAGAATTCATCCTGTCTGAAGATCTGACCAGCGTGAGTCATGGAGAGAGACAGAAGCTTCCTGAAAACCCAGAGAGGATCGACTATCACCGCTCTGTCCGGGGCTGGGAGGGCTTTAACTCAGGGATTCACAGCTGGGACGTTGAGGTTGGAGACAATACAGCCTGGTTTGTTGGCATGGCTACGGAGTCTGTCCAGAAAAAGGGACGAACAAAGTCTGGATTCTGGCAAATAGAGTTCTTCAGTGGTAAATACAGCACACGCCTGTTAGGATATCCACCCGGTGTTCTCCGAGTGAAGAAGAAGCTCCAGAGGATCAGAGTTCATCTGGACTGGAACAGAGGAAAACTGTCTTTCTTTGATCCTGACGCTAACACACACATTCACACCTTCACACACACTTTCACAGACAGACTGTTTCCATGCATAGGCACTTTGAATGAACTCCCCCTGAAGATGTCACAAGGCAAGATCCTTGTAACCAGAGAATGGATCAGTGAGAGATGATTGTGAGGATAAGCACAGAGGTGATGTCTCGTATTTAAAAGTACTACTGCCAAATTTAGATAACACCAGTTCTCTGTGTGGTCCTGAAATCCAAAAAAAAAATTGCACTTAAAGCTGACTTCCTATGTATCCTTAAAATGTTAAATATTAAATATATAAATATATATCTTAAATATTTTTTGCCTGCTGTAGACAGTTCCATTGGTTGTTGCATCTTTTGATTGCATACATACACTGTATTGTACAGTATCTGCCCACTGTCGTTGCATCATATGACCACTAGATGGCGCCCCAGACTGTGATTTGTTCAGCCTGAAAACCCTGAAGTGTAGAAACCTCGAGGTCAGTTTGTGGTTTTACTTTATTTGTTTCATATTTATTTTCTTTCTTCACCATGTTCTTTATCTATTTCCCTCCTTTCCTTCGTCATCCAATCTAAAAACATTAAAATGGCAGTGAGAGTAATCTAAACTCTCTGTCACTTTCCCGTTGGATACTTGGGAGCATTTTTACTGTTTTTAGCTGCCTGTTACTTATAATGGATTTTTTCCCCGCTGTGGTGGTGCTTCTTTTACTGAAGTAAAGGATTTGAATCACAGTCAGATGCCCCAGTGTTCTGTGTGTCTGAAATTCACATTTTCACACTTTAGGTCACATGTTAAAATTCACAGTTTTGTTCTTGCTGTCTCTGGCTCTGGCCTGGGGGGTAAGATGTTCTTAGTTAACCCTGATGAAGTCCTGCCAGGTTCACAAGGAGAGACTGTGACTTAGATCTGACTGATGGTCAAACTTCAGATAAACGTTTCACAAAGCTGCGTAGCTCTTGACTATCTTAAGTAAGACAAGATTGTGATAAATTCTCGATTGATTAAGATAAAGTTTGTGTCTGAAATTACTCCCTTTTTTACTCTATAGTGCACTACGTATACTGGCCGCCATTTTATTTGAGAGTGTAAATTTATCCACAACACGGTGCGAGTGGATGAAAAATGCAGTGTCCATCTCATGTGGCCTGTACAGCACTTTGTGCTGACAGTCTCACAGTGCAATGCTCTGCTAATGAAAGACTTCACCATTTACAAACTTATTTTACAGGGAAAATTCAGCGAGGTGTCTGACCCAAAAAGAAAAATAATTTTGAAAGACTTCAGTGGACAGGAACATCAAAGTCAAATAACTGACAATATCCTCGCTGCTGTCTCTAACAACTGTTTCCTCTCTCATGAATCTTTCCACAACCTTGTTAAATAAACCAGATATTATGAGCAATGTTTTGATCTTTTTGTGATCTTTTTCTTCAAAACTGTCTAACTTGACAAGTCCAAAATATCTTTATGATAAACTGGAAACTTCTCAATCTTTCTGTCAGATCACAAGTTTCATTTCCTCACCAATTTTGTTTGCGTGTGTGTGTGTGTTTTTGTGTGTGTGTGTGTGTGTGTGTGTGTGTGTGAATAAGTCAGTGAGTCTTTTTTCAGTCTAAGTCTTGATCTGGTCACCAGAGGAGGAAACCCCGTCCTTTCATTGCTCCAACTCTCCGCTGGTGAGACAGAAAACTCGGCTGGTGAGTAAAATATCGTCTCCCAACATTCAAATGTGCTGAATTACTGATGATGATAGAAATAAGACAATATTTTTGTTCAGTGTTTGTTTATGCTGCTCTGTCAACATTGGAACAGTAATCAACAGCAACTTAAATAAAAACGTACATAACCTACAGTAAAGGTTCACTGTGACGGCTGATCTTTCTGCAGTAAGGTTCAAACTTCTGCAGGTTGTTTTTCACAGAAATGAACTGAAATTAATGGTTGTCTGAAAGAAAAAAATAAATGGAAAAACCACTGGAATTATTTGAATTTTAAATTGAAATAAAGCTGTATAATAATCAAGTTAAATCAGATTAGATTTCATGGTCTTTATGGTGTATGGTGCTCAGTAATGGAAGAAGCTGTTAACTTTGTGTCTTTCTTCCAACTATTTTTTCCAGTCTTTACAGTGATGTGCTTTTATTTACATACTTTAGATTGTTTTTCTGTGTGAAGGCTTGATCTGTTTTTACGCTGATTTTCTTCCTTCCACACAGACATTGTCTTCGGTTCATTTCTATACAAAATAACTTGCAGGGACCTGAGTCTTGCAGCAGGGAGATAATCTACTACTGTTAACATTTAGTTTCCTTTATTGTTAAATTGTGTAACATCATCTGCCATTACACAATACAACAAAACAGCAATCTGTAGCTTCATATTTTACTGTTTTTACATTTACATATAGATTAAAAGATGTTATTGTGTATAAATTAGGAGCGTAGCCAGGAATGTATGAATATGAAGTTAAAATCACCCCGTCCTGACTGCAGTTTGTATTTTTTGTATTTCGTCTGTCCAGTTAACTGCTTATTATGTTTTCCTGTAAATTCTTCAAGGTCTAAATGATGTGTCAAAATCTCAAAACCAAACACGGTCAGAAATTAAATTCTGTTGGATTAAGGCTGTTTTAATTTATACACAATGGGTCTATAAATACTGGAAAATTCAATTAGCTATTAATTGTAGATTAGTTTCTAAAAACCCCAGGAAAAAAACACAGAGGTCATGACCTCAGTGTAAAGAACAGATACTTCATCATCATCATCACCATCATCTTCTTCTTCTAAATACCATTAACAGTTAACTCAGGTGTTTTGGACCATGGGAGGTCATTATGGGCTGGTGGTTCTGGTGGGCGTGGCCTTGCTTCTGACGACCGGCCAATGTGACACAAGTTGCGGTGGGAGAGACGGCCAGCCAGGAGTGGCAGGGACCCCGGGCAGAGATGGATGGCATGGAGTGAAGGGAGAGAAAGGACAGCCAGGTAAAAAATAATAATAATAATAATAATAATAATGTGCAAACACACAACAGCTGCTTCCTTTGTCCTTGTGTCTAATCACACTGTGACAAAACTCTTCAATATATTATAAACCCAAACATGTGTCCCATTCTCCCTAATGGGGAATGAGGCTGTACAGAGTTCACATAGGTGCTGATTGATCGATTGATTGATTTGTTTACAAATTTGATTAAAAGTTGAATAAATGTTGTTGTTGTCCTGTTTTCTCCTCTGATATTTATTAGTCACGAGGCTGCTGTTAGTTTCATTAAACACCTCCCAGATCACACCGGTTAGTTGTGTTACTGTTATCTGACACCTAAATTCTACATGTGTATATATAATCTATTATAAACCATTCACATCCAATACATTTCACTGTCAAACAGCCCCTTTAATTCAGAAAAGTCATCCATGTTTGAGAGGCACATAACTGGAAATAGTAGTAACACTGAAAAATTAGGGGGTATGTTCTCATGTTCTCCCTGTGGAAACGACTCCCCTTGGATCCGACATCTCACATCAGCACTACGATCATAAAATATCAAACACCGTCCCGCCCTAATCATTTGTCTCGTTTGTCTCCAGCTGCGGTGGTCGATGATCCGGTGGACGTGGGCGTCTTACTGAGGCTGAGGGGGGAGATGGGAAGTCGTGGCTTGCAAGGAGCCATGGGTCCTAAAGGTTATCAAGGAGATCTGGGAGCAGCGGGTCTCCCGGGACAACCCGGCGGCCCCGGCGCTGAAGGGAAGAACTTCGGCGATGGTAATGACATGACTCCTGACCCCACAGCCTCATGCTCACATACAATGTATATATGTAATTACATATAGTTTATATCAGCTCAATACAAAACAAAATAGCTGACAGGACAGATGATAACTGTGTCAACAAATCACCTCCATTATAAAAGAGACTTGACTGTTAGCAGGACTCTTCCAACTGCAAATATGGTAAATTATTACTCTCTGTATTATGACTTTTTTCAACCATGAAGGTTTTATGTTTGTAAAACTTTCCCAGAGCTACTAACTACTAATGTGCATGTGCAGTGGGACGCACGACACACGTATCCAGCTGTTCTAATACATCCAATAAAACTTACATCACAATGAACACATACTGAGTTTAAAGACCTTCTTAGTCAGATACTGTTTATATCCTGAAAGATTGTGTGTAATTATATAAAACAATTATAAAACAATTATGTTACCGTTATGGATAGGTTGTCATTTGTCCTGTTGATTGGTTGTCAAACATCAAGAAGGCGGGTTCTATCAAGTATCTCATATAACCTCTTGTAATGGCACTGAGAGTACAACTTGTATTGTGTGTGTGTGTGTGTGTGTGTGTGTGTGTGTGTGTGTGTGTGTGGTCGTGTTTGTGTGTGTGTCCTTTCTGCCTATAGGGCAGCACTCCCTTCAGCAGGCCCGTTCAGCCTTCTCGGTGATCAGGACTGATAGCAGTTTTCCTCGCTTCACACAGGTTCAGTTTGTCGTCCGTCACTCCTCTCTGTCCCTCAGCTTGTTTCTACATGTTTAAAAATCTGCAGTGTTTGTATGAATTAAAAATGTTCGTTTCTTTAATGTCTGAACGTTGGATAGTTTTATTTTTTTCTGGTCAGGTTTTGAGATACCACTGTCTTTCCAGAAATAGTCCCTGTTTAGTCTGGATAATCCACAGACCTCAATGTCAACAGTTTCCATAGGAACTACCAACAAAATTGTTCCTTTAAAAATGTTCAGAGTTTATTTTCATCACATAAATTTAATTGGAAAAATATATAAATACACAGCAGCACAGTCGTTCACCTGTTTTCTTTTCAATTTTTCAGGTTGTATCACTTTATTGTTGATCTTATACTGTGTATGTTTGTGTGTATGTGTGTGTGTTTGTGTGTGTGTGTGTGTGTGTGTGTGTGTGTGTGTGTGTATCAGACAGTAACCTACGACAGCCCGGCTGTGGTCAACAAGCCTGGGGACTTTAACACGGCCACAGGTTACTTCACCTGCAGAGTACCTGGTGTTTATTACTTCTCCTTCCACTCTATGGCCAAGGTAACACACTGTTGTCTGTTCTATGGCTGCTCTTCTGTCTATGAGAGGAGACGCTGACCATATTGTCATTTTGTAAGACATAACATACAGGTTAGACATCAGGATGTGTTTTACAGCTCAGTACAGTTGACAGCTCCGTCTTCGTGCTGCGTTACAGCTGTTCTGTGTTTTGTAGGTCAACATGTGTCTGCGTATAGCCAGTGAGGCTCTGTTCAATATGCTGGGATTCTGTGATTACAACAGGAACAATGACCAGGTGAGTTTCAGAGCTTCAGGACCACAGAGCTCGAGAGGAGGAAGAGGAGGGAAACTCTTTGATAAATTATTCTGAAAAGAGGAAGTCCACTGGACTGTGTTTCGGTTTCTCTCTCAGCTTAGCCTCAGTTCTTACCGTCGTGATTCTGTTTTTATCTGCAAGTCTCACCTTACACTTTTAAACCTTTATCTAACTTATCCTGATTGTGAGACACATATTTCATCGACAAACAGCGACTGTGATCAGATCCTTACCTTGATATGATGTTAATACAGGTGAGTTTTCAAACACCACTTATATTGCTCACCAGGAAGCCTCATCAGTTGTAGATGAATGAGATCTATTCCTCTGCAGTGGCAGTTAAAGCAACACATTGGCCCATTGACACCTGTGCTGTATTCACGATATAAAGCCACGAGGCCATGTCATGTATGTATAGTGACAGCTGAGTGTTGTCATGAAGACGTGACGTGATCGGCTGTGTTGTGTTTCAGGTGCTGTCAGGTGGCGTGGTTTTACAGCTGTCAGCCGGACAGAGGGTTTGGCTCGAGTCCTTTAAGGACCAGCAGCAAGATACTGATCAACGAGACACACGAGACAAACTGATCATCTTCAACGGCTTCCTGCTTTTCTAAAATCCAGTTCAGTTGTAGAGCTGGAGTCGGTGCAGAAAACCAGCAGCGCTTCATGAATTCAGCTTCTAAAAATCCTCTGATTCCAGATCACATTTCTCAAAGTTGTTTTTAGAAGGACAATTTACCATTACAGTAATGTTTGTGAAACTATTACTCATGTTTCCTTTGCCTGTAAACTCACAGGTAACTTCAACTGATTTGTTTCCTTCATATTGATGCATGTAAACCCTCTCAAGTTTGACGTTGTGTGTGAATGCTACTGAAACAACATTAAAGTTTATTATTGACTGTTGGTTTGTTTGGTACGATGACTCGCATAATTTCATTACACAGCTTTTAGAGACAATCACGAACATCATGAATTAAAATCACATGCCAGAGTTTTCTTTCAATAACCGCCAAAGTGCAGCAGTTCATCAGGAAGTGAAGATGTTCAAAAACGTCATGTAATATTAAAAAATCCTTTTTTAAAATCATGGATGGTTTATTCCTGACTTTCTACCAAACTTGCTTAAGTGTTCTGATTTTGACAAATAGACAAAGACGACAACAAACTCCTTGGTAATTTTCCTGTCTCTGCGAACACAGGTACAAACAGGGACGTCTCTAAGCGCATAAATAGATCAAGATCTTCCGACATCCACAGAGAAAACTTCAATATATAAACATACAAACATAAAAAGCAGATCTGTTTGACCTCACTGCATTGAACGTCGTACAGAGGGGAAGATGGAAATTTGGGAAATTTCCTGTTCCGCTTCCAGTCTTTATGCTAAGCTAGGCTAAACGTGCTGGACTTCGCTCTGTACTGAACCAACAGAGATGACACTGATTTCCATCTTGTCCAAATGTCGTCGACGTCCGTAACAACTGTAAACACCAGCTATCAGAATTTAGCCAAATGTTGATTTTATTGTAAACATTGCAGACCTCCATTAGGCTGAATGAAATCTGTTTCTTTTGATTTATATCGCATAAAAAAGTTTCATGTGACCCTCTGAAAGTTGTAGAAGTGAAACATTTCTGGTTTTAAACACTTCTTCTTTTAGGTAATCCCTCGTCTTTTGTCACTCTGGAACGGCCTCAGTTGACGCCTTCCTAACATCAGTGTGTGTGTGTGTGTGTGTCTTTTCTTTTTTAAGTTTGGTTAACTTGCTGAAACTGCTTCTCAGAAGAACAGGGTTAAAGGTCCTGAACACTCGGAGAAGAAACTGTTTGTATCTCTTCTTCTACAACAGTAACATTTCTGACAATCGTAGGGAACAATAGTGGCGATGGTTGGCTGTAAAAAAGATTTACAAATGTTTTCGTTTTATTAGACAGGAAATACATTGAACATGTTCATCAGGACTTAAAGGATACAACTGATGATATTCTACATTTTTGTTATTGTCCACCGATCCCATGAAAAGGCCACAGCCTTATTCTTAAAGTGCCCTACATGAGTAAATGTCCACTATGTGTCTAACACCCCTGTCCAAGTGTACTCTTGGTGTCCAGCTGTTTTCAGCTGGTTTTGGTCCCTTTCTTCCAGTGAAGAGAAATCTTAATGCTCCAACACGTAACGATATTTTAGTATATGTTAGCATACATCCATGTCGCAGAGGTTACCATCAGTTTTCCAATGATCCAGATGAAAAATATTTTATCTACTGCCTATGTCTACCATGCTGCAACTGTGTGTCCTCTCCAGGTAGCTGGTGGGCTGCCATCTTTGTTTTCACAGCTTGGGAAACGAGTAGAAATCTGTTCATCATTCAGTGGATGAAATCTTTTCAGTGTTTTTGAACGACCTTCTGGGATCTTGCAGACAAACCAGTGGTTGTCTCTGTGACTCAAATGTTTGATAAAACATGTGAGAGGCACAAACTTTGTGGCAGCAGTTTGGGAAAGTTCTTCTTTCCTGTTTCATGCCCCTGCGCACAAACCCAGGTCCCTAAGAAATGTTTTTCCCAGTTTGCTGTGAAAAGACTGAACTGCACAAAACCCTGGAGCTCGACCCCACCCAACACCTCTGGGATGACCTGAGACGCCGACTGTGAACTGTGAACCAGAATCAGTGTTGAACCTCACTGATGCTGTTGCGGCTGAATGGGAGAAAATCCCTGCAGCTAGGATCCAAAGCCAGAGCAGTGGAGGCTGTTACAGCACATGTTGAATTCTCACATACGAATTAAATGTTTGAGTGTCCGCATACTTGTGACCATGCTCCGAACTTTAGCCTCGTTTTGTGTCTCAGTTATGAATATCTTAGAACATATGGAGCCACAAAAGGCTGATGAACGATAGAGGAGGTACTTTATTCTCTCTCTCTGTCTCTCTCTCTTCTTCCATCTCTCAATAACTTCCCTAAATTGCAGAACTACAATCAGAAAGCTCAGAGAATAATTTCCGAAGTAAAAGCTGCTGAATCTTTGGTTTTGTGTTCCTCCTCGGGCGGCTGCAGGACTCAGAGCTTCACTTCAGTTTGTGTTGAACTGGACGTGGTGGGTTTTATTTTCCTGTCTGTTCTCTCAGGTGAGTTTTTTATTCATCTTTTACATCTGTGTGTTGATGAAGTTTTAACAAATGAAAGAATCTGCTTTTGTTAAAAATTCGATCTCCTGTTTCTCCTTCATCATCATGATTGTGTGTTTTTGTGTAAAGAGGACGTTGATATTTGAGCTGTTGGATCGTTGCTCACAGTTTGTTTGTTATCATGAAGAATAAGTTCATTACTGTCAGCAGATGATTGAGTTGTTCAGATGTTGCTTCTCTTCTTCACCTCCTCTTTGTCTCCTCTTCTTCACTTCCTCCATCTTCCTCTTCACACTTTCGCTCTTCTCCTCTTTCCTCTTTGCCCTCTACTCTCCTTTCCTCTTCCCTCACCTCCTCGCCTTTGCTCTCCTCCTCCTCCTCTCATCTTTCCTCCTTTTTTCTCCCCTCTGTTCTTTCCTTGTCTCCTCTCCTTCTACCCTCTCTGTCCCATCCTTAACCTCTCCTTCCATATCCTCCTCTCTTCTCTTTTTGTCTTTCAATCATCACCCCTCTTCACCCATCTTTTCCTCTCCTCTTTCCTCCTGTCTCATCCTCCTCTCCTCTTTCCTTGTCTTCTCTCTTTCCTTTGTCCACCCATTTTCCTCTTCCCTAATCTCCTCTTTTCTCCTAATCTCTCCTCTTTCCTCCTCTCCTATCTTTTCTTCACCTCTCCTCATTTTTATGTTTCTTATTTCCTTTCATCCTCTCCTGTCTTAATTTTCTTTTTCTCCTCATCTCCTCTCCCTCTCATCCCATCTTCCCTCTTCTCTTTTCCTCTTCTCGTTTCCTTACATCTCTTACTTTGCTCCTTTACTTCTATCCTTTCTTCCTTTCCTTATTCTCCTCCCAACTCCTCTAACCTTATCTCTCCTCATCTCCTCTCCTCTCTGTCAGGTTCCCCATCATGCTCCATCATTTTTTTCTCGTGATTGGAGCCTTGATCTCATTGGCTGCGCCCCTGCTCGCCTCCATGGAGTCCTGCCCAGCAACAGGGATGCCCGGGATACCAGGTATGTGCATTCATGCATGTACTGTTGTCAGTGTGTCAGTGTCGGTGTGTGTATATATTTTTTTTAATGTTTGTGTTTGTTTATCTTCGTTTCCATCCTCAGGTATGCCCGGTCTGCCCGGCAGAGACGGTCGTGACGGAGAGAAAGGAGAGAAAGGCGACCCAGGTACGTCCACAGAGTTGGTTTAGGAGCAGCGACACTGACTCCCCTAAAGTCTGTGCACAAATACAGAAAGGAAGAAAACATGAATGCCTTGAAAGCAACAGTAGATCTTTTGAATAAGTCACCCACAAACCTTTTAGACCCTTATCCTTAAAAACATTTCACTGAATTAAATCACGCTGCTGAAATCATTTTATTCATGCCAAGGTACATTTGTTCCTGTTTTACCTGCAAACACAACAAGCAACAGCTTCATTGCAACATACAGAAACATCACCATGTTGTTTATGACTCACAGCATCATAAAAAAAAAATATAATCATAAAAAACCACACTCAGATATTGGCACCGTGGACCCAGTCTGCAGTTTTTAGAGAATCTATGAAGGTGCAATACAGAACAATTCTGAGAGTTCATGACATGTTCATGACAAGTAAAATAAAAACTATTTAACTAACTAAATATAAACTGGTTTTTATCTTTGTGCATTAATCCATATTTGCATGAAAAAAAAAACACAAAATAAGTGACTTTTAATACAGAAACTAGAAGAAGGAAGCTGTCTCTGAGAGTTAATGCTAATAACGCGCATGCTGAGAAGTATGCTAACGATGCCAACTGGCAAATTAGTAGCATAAAAACATGTGCTATTAGCTTAAAAAACAGAATGATTTCCGTTCAGCAGGAGATTAATTCAGCTGATATCGAATCACAAAATCTGATTAAACTGTAAATTCTGATTTGTTTTTGACTTTTCCTTCAGCAAACTCTCGCTCTTCCATTTCGCGTCAGTGGACAGGGTTAGGTTAAACAACTGAGATACAAAACAAATGAACGAGTTAACTGCTGAGCTTTGGTAGCTTCTGGTTGGTACGTGTATTTCTGATCTTTGGACAGAGTTACCTGTTTCCTGATGCTTCTTGTCTTGTGCTAATGTGACCTGACTCCTGCTCCATATTTAACACACACACATGAGACTGACCTTGATCTTCTCATCTAACTCATCCGTCAGAAAGAAAACACATATTTCCCAAAATGTTGAACTATTCCTTTAATCTGTCAGACAGCAGGTCGGTGTGGCTGGTTATTACATATAATGACCGGCCTGTTGTTGATGTCTGCAGGAGTGGAGTGGCAAGGCGGCCTCGGCCCACAGAAGGGAGAGAAGGGGGAGCCGGGGCTGATGGGATTTGATGGTAAACGAGGTCAGAGCGGGGAACCAGGGCAACCAGGGAAACTGGGGCTTGCCGGACCTCCAGGAGAACCAGGAGAACCCGGGTATGTAATAAGACATCACACTCAAATGACTGAGTGTGGCCCCAACCCCAGACCCTCAAGGGGGCCATCTGCCCCAGATTCACTGTGTGGAAACACGTTTAATAAACTGAATGATGTTAACTGTATGAAACGGAAAAGACAATTCCTGCTTTTTTTGCCTGATCTTAAGACCTTGTCTTGTAGAGGGCCCAAATGCCCAGTGAATGTCTTGATCACATGGTGCATATTCTTAAATTATGTTATCATTTCATTAAACTAAATCAGGGAGCAACAGGGAACAACAGGGGTTTAATCAGGGCCGGCAGTTTACAGGTTAATCCAGCTCTGGGCCTCACTCCATGTTGTATCTGTGGCTGCAGGTCTACTGGAGCCATGGAGAAAGCCGCCTTCAGCGTGGCCAGAGGAACCAATGAATACCCAGACAAAGCCAGCGTCATTCGGTTCACCACAGTCATCACCAACATCAACGACGACTACAACACCGACACAGGACGCTTCAGGTGAGAACACCATCGACTTTCTGGTCATATTATACGGAAAGTGATGACAGTAGTTTTTATGACAAGTTTGTATCATCAAATAAAAAACTTTGGACTGTGGATATTTGTTATTTTTATATCAGTAAATGATTTTAGATTATTAGGATTAATTTGGATTAGACAGCTGAGCTAGCAGCTCTGTGAGGCTGCATTTAGATGCTTTGCGCTAATGCTAACATCAGCATTCTCATACGCTCTCTAACACAGTCATATCCAGCTAATGTTTACCATGTTTTCATCTTAGATTAGCATGTTAGCAGGTTAACAATTGCATTAAACACAAAGTAGAGCGGAGGCCGATGGGAGTGTCATTCGTTTTGGAGATATTTGGTCACAAATCAAAGGAGAAAAAGTCAACAGATCACCAAAGTTATTAATTCAGAGTAGTTGTGTGCACGTCCACAAACCTCAGTGGGACAGGTTCAATTAGCAACATTTCTACCAACTACATGTCTTCCTCAGGCGCCTCATACCATCTCCAAAGTTATTACAGTTCATCCTGAAGGGGACATGAATGTCTGTCCAAAATATCATGACAAGTCGTTCTACAGTTTTTAAAACACTTCACTCAAAACCAAAAATGTTAAACTCATGGTGCCGCTCATGGTGGTTCCTCCTGGGACCAGGAATCTGGACCAAAGTGGTGGACTCACCAAAAGACTGACGTTACTATCCATGGAGACATGCTATTAGCTAGCATGGCTAATAATTATCCAACAAATCCACTCACAGAAGTGTGTGTGTTGTAGGTGTCGGGTCCCGGGAATCTATTACTTTGTGTTCCACGCCTCTTTGGAGGACCGACTGTGTGTGCTGCTGAAGCTGGACAACACACTGCTGACATCCTTCTGCGATCATCGCCGCGGGAGGAGACAGGTACGAGCATGAAACAGTATTACACATTCATTTTTATCACATTATTCTTCCTCCCAAAAAAGATAAATGAGCCATCTCTGGTGTTTAACTGCATCGTGTTATTAAATCCGTTCCAGGTGACCTCGGGCGGCCTGGCGGTCTACTTGTCAAGGGATCAGGAGGTTTGGCTGGAGACCAAAGACTACAGAGGGATGAGAGGAAAACCGAGCGGTTACAGCATCTTCTCCGGCTTCCTGCTGCACCCTCACTGACCCAAAACCCCCTTCGCTTTTTACGAAACGTCTTTCCAGCAACACTTCAAGACTGAAACTGCAGGCACAATAAAGTCCTCCCTTCCTCCTTCCTACTGACTCTTTCACCTTTTCAAAAAATACATACTCGTTACTTCTCAGTTTCACTTTTCATTTACCACAAAAACACTTTTCAGTAGAGCTTGTGATCTGCAGCGTAATTTTGTTGCAGGAATCAGGCACCAAAATACTTACTGCTACTTAAATATAGGTACAGTGGGAAAAAAAATAAATTTCAGACCCAGAGTTTATTTTAATGTGTGTGTTTATATTACAATACACTTTGGTCACTTTTCAGAAAGAAGGGATTTGTCTCCACTGGTGATTGGGGTTCTGTGTTTGTTTATCACCTTAAAACAGATTCATCACTTAATGCACAGGGCTGACTTTTTTCCATCTTTCTCATCTTCATTGAATCTTTGCATTTTACAGTTGAATGTATCATGCATCATATATCCGATCTGATTCACGTGTTGATTGTATCTCCTCCGTCTGAAGGCGAACACATTATTTGAACCATGAAAACCCAATAAACCCAAATAAAGAGCTGATAAAAACCTGAATCCTTTGTGTTTGTATGTAATGTCTCATTTTCTAAGTATTTCTTAATGAACAGACTTAGTTTATTTTAATAATGTCAATGTCAATGTGAATAGCCACAGATGAAAACAACGAGAGAGTTGAAAACGAGACTTTAACAGAGAGTGAACCTGCAGCACTGGTACATTTTCTTTTTCTGTGTTCACAAAGTGACTCTTGGTTAATTTTCAATTTCTTAAGAAACTACCTGAACAGACGCTCGCCTCTAGATATGACCTGATGACTTTAGCCCTCTATAACCCCACACTTCTCATTATTACTCTGTGGATACACTCGTGCCAACGCTGTCCACTTCTACTGTTCCTCCACCACACCAACCTGTTTATGCCTCATTACATGCTAAGTTCTCAGTATTCTTATTGAGGATCTAATGTTCATGTGGTGAACGGGGGATTAGGTCTCTAAATGGAGACGTATGTGTCTCTGACCGAATTTATATCTCTGTGTTTTCAGGTTTGGTAAATACATGTCAGGTTGAAGTTGCTACCTGCAACTTTTTCATAAATGTACATTCAGAGCACTTGGTTAATGTTAATGATTAACCAAATGATTGCGGTCTGGTTTCTCAACCACAGTGTTTTTGTGGTCTAAACCACAGACAGGACTGTGGATGTGATGCCTCGTCTCTGGTGTAACTATTGTGGTTTGTACAGCCGCCATGCTCCCAAACACACCTCCATTCACCCATTCAAAAATACACTTCTTACAGAACATGTTTGCTTTTGCAGTTAAATTTGTATAAAAACATAATTTCTTGGAGACGGGGTTGTATTATTATTTGGAGTTACAGGTTTCCCAAAGAATACCTTGTGCAGGTGAAGGCAACTAGAATCAAGATTCCTCCACTAACAATGAAAACAAGTTTATAGTTAATAATTACTAAGTGTAAATTAATTTAATGTCTATTGCTGAAAAATATAGATCATAAATAGTAATAAACATAGAGTTTGGGATGACATGACACAAAAACAGGGTTAGAATGAAAAAAAATGAAAAGAGGATCAGAAAATTACAAACTGGCATATTTCACAGGATGTAATTATTAAAAATACACATCAGCTCTTTGCTTATAGATATTGTTGAGGAAATTAAACATTTTGTGGAACAGATACTGACGTCCCGACTGAGGTTAAGAACTTCAGAAACACACTGCCAGGAAAAGAGTTTGTGTCTCAGGCACCAACAAAGAGGAAGTTCAGAGGAAAAACAGAACAAAATGTAAATTTGGAGGAAAGATTTTTTTTTAATCATATACATTCAATGATGCTTCATCATCAATTCTTCCTCAGGTGGAGTTTTCCTGACTTCTTGTTAAACTGTTTCACTTCCACTGATAAGAAAGTTGTTTTGTCAGATAAATACAATAAGAAAACAGATCTACAGGAAAAGTCATCAAACTCTCAGAGGTGAAACTGCTGCAGGAAATTGCTAAAATGCTGCTTATATGCTGATGATGCATCAGTATTAACAGGCTAAAAATATAAACTACATAATAATATGACGACTTTTACTTCTGATACTTTAAGCATATTCAGTCGATAAAATTGTAATTTGAAAAAAGTAAAAGTACTTGCAATGGAGTATTTTTACATTACATTGTGGTATTGATACTTTTATTTAAGCTATCCAATTAATTTAGCGTTAACGTTCTTTAGCTTGTAAAGTTTGTAAACTTTATGCAGGCTACTGCTAATCTGTAATAATACATCACAACTCATTTGTTGCTCAGATTCTGTACAAATAATCTGAATCTACAAAATAACCAGCAACTAACTAAAGCTGCCAATAAATGTAAAAAGTAAAAAGTAGAATAACTCCCTCTGAAGTGTAGTGGAGTAAAACTATAAAGTAACATAAGATGAAATTTATTGGTGTAAAGAAAAAAACTGTACTTAAGGACTTTAAAAAAATAAAAAATAGATTTGCCTCTGAAATGTGAGTAGAAGTATAAGTAACATGAAACGTGAAATGAACATACTCAGTACCTGAATTTAAATGAACTCTGTTATTCCATCACTGGCTGCAGCAAACAGAGTTTTTTCTTGTTTCCCAGATATTGAGCACCAATAGAGCAGCGACGTTTGTCTCTTAAACTGTTTCACTTCCTGTTTTTTTCTGACTGAGCTGCTGCTGTCGCTGTGAAGCAGAACAGCTCTTCGCTCTTCGCTCTTCATCAGCTTATCACTCCACCTCAGGACGAGTGACTGCACTACCTGCAAATGGTGAGACCTTTCTGTCCTTCGGAAACCAAAGACCAGGCAGAGACAGAGAGAAGTCTAGAGAGAGAGAGAGAGAGGAAATCACTCATTCAGACAGATGCACTGTTGATACAGAAGATATTGTACAGTTATATCATATTTCTTGCTGAATGTTTCTTGATGTAATCTTCAAACATAGTTAAGTATCATTTTCTCTGTGGGTCATAAGAGTCAGAGCTTCTGTTGTCCTGGGCTGGATGTCTGAAAATGTCATATATCTAAATTTAAAGTGAGATCTTAAGTCATTAATTTGTCTTAAATAATAACTCAATTTGAACATTGTATATCGTATTATATATATAATTCGTAGATAATGTGGTCAAACATTCAGCACAGTCCTTAAAACCTGTCAACTCTGCACAAATGTGTCTTTTCTATGTGCAGTTAATGTATTTGTATAATGTGTATATGTTGTTTTTTGTGGCTTTTACTGATTAGATTTCTGATTATAATAATTTTAACTGTTCATGTCGATGTTCCCAACATCCAATGTTCACATAACAGTGGTGAACGGAAACAAGACAACACTAAACATTAGAAACATTAATTCACAGTCTTTTGCTGATTATGATGGAAACTTGGTTTGTGTATCTGTGTCTGTGTCCAGGCCCTCCGGTGGCTGAGCTGCAGTACTGCAGTGTTGCTGCTCTTGGTTCACGTCGCCCCGGTCGTCGCACAGACGTCCTGTGGAGCCCCAGGGATTCCTGGGATACCGGGCACCCACGGGCCCAATGGCAGAGACGGTACCAAAGGAGAGAAGGGAGACCCTGGTGAGCTCAGAGTGAACATGAAAACATCAAATACATTTACATCTTCTGTTCACGTTTTTCTTCATGTTGTCACCAGCTCTTTTCTGACAAAATGTAAATGTAAATCAACTCAAGTGTCACATGCAGCTGCAGGTCATTAAACCTGTTTTGTTAAGTTCAGTGAACTTCACTCAGCTGGCACATTTTTACAACTTTGAACAAATCATTCAACTTTATTAAACTATTAAACTATTAAACTATATCTGCAGCATCTTTTGTTGTGCTGCACGTGTGTTGTCAAACTGATGAAGATACTTTTTCATTTCATTGTGTTTATGTTCTATTTAGTTGCAGTGAGAGACCTTGATGCAAAATTAAAATGACGAAACATTTCCCTTTATTACAATAACGCAGGTGGTGCACTACTAGTTTTTTATAATAGTTTTTTTGTAGACTGCAGTACAGATTTTCAGTTTACAGCTAAAATAAAATACCTATCTTTCATCTTTCAGCTCATACTTTCAACCTGGTGACATAAGTGTCATTTTGTTGTTTGTTTGTCTGTTTGTTTTTGTATGAGCAGGTGAGTCAGGCCAGCCTGTCAGGGGCCAGAAGGGGGGGCCGGGTCTGCGGGGCCCCCCGGGACGGCCTGGGATGAAGGGGGACGTGGGTCTGCCGGGGCCCCCCGGATATCCAGGCCAGCCTGGGGAGAAGGGAAGACCCTTCAACCCCTCCAAACAGGCGAGAGCCTTCTTCTCCCAAAAACGTCTGTTACCACAGTCACCAGAGATCGACACAACCATGAACTTCAACAGGTCGGTGACGGTGTAAAGTCAGAGAGAGAGAGCAGGAGTGGTGTTTAATGTGACGTGATGTAAACTAATGGGACGGGGAACAGAGAGAGGAAGGTTTGATTGGACCGGTGAGGTTAAAGGGCGGGATCAATCAAATATCTGTGACAGTTTCATGAGTTCTTATTTCCAGTCTGAGTTCACTCAAAACTTGGTCTAAAATCACCGAGTGTCTCTCTATAATATGAAATATTCATGAATAAATAAGCACCAAAGTTAAGTTGGAAAAACAAAAAATCTTTTTCGAAGCGAGACAAAGGTACGTGACATCACTGTTCTCCAGCTGAGCCTCGCCCACATGAAGCCAGTGAGAAGAGTCTCTTAACTGACACAAACAAAACTGTAACAGATTAAGAAAATACGATTTCAGTGCCTTTATGGTTGAACTGGTTTCACCAACAAGCACCAACATTGTCAAACACTAAAACAGAAGGAAAAAACAAAGATTCTTAACATTTTGTGGGACATTTATTGTTTGTTATTGTTGTTATATTGGTGTGTTCTTCTGTATTTAGTCTTTTATTTTGATCTGACTGAACGATAAATGGTGAGATTTGCTGATTTCGCAAAAGACACAATTTACAAAACTCTGTATTCCTAAAGAAAAAAGAAAAAGAAACAAAACTATGAGTCTGTAGCCAAGCTAGTGTTTCTGTGAGGCTGCAAATAGGTACAACAGAGCTTTGTGTTAAACACTCAAAGCATGCTAACATGCTAACAAGATGCTCACAGTAACAATGCTAACATGCTAATGCTAAGATGGTGTTATATTTACCATGTTTCCCATATTAGTTAGCACTTAATACAAAGTACAGCTGAGCCTGATGGGAATGTCATTCATTTTGCAGGTATTTGGCCACAAACCAATGTACTGGACAAATTAAAACGCTGACCAGTTGATGGCGCTAGATAAAAGTCACTAAAATAATTACATTTCATCCCGAAAATCTTTTTGATGACAAAACATAAAATAGTGAATAAACACTGAAATGTTTGTGTCAACTTCCCACAGCGATATCTTACCGAACCTGGATCAACAGTTTCAAGGAGTTTCGCTGACAAACGGATCGTTCGTATGCGTCATCAAAGGCGTCTATTTCTTCAGTTACCACATATCAGCAAAGAGCAGAGTGAGTCCGACTTCAGCTTGTCTTCAAGAGTTCATCTAGTCGTTTATTACTCCAGTACTTTACTTCTTATGTCACTCATACCTTTGATCAGACTCTACAGGTTTACCCAGTTTCTTTTCTTCTGTAGTAAAAAATACTTTTCAGGTGCTTTTTGGTCCAGAATGGAGAGCAGAAAGGTTTCCGGGTATGAAGTCTTTGCTCGTTTAGTTTTCTTCTTACAAAAGCACAGATACTTTTTACATCAGGTCTCTTTCCTCCGCACCCAGGAAGGTTTGCTGCTGTGCCATGAGTTTTAAACTTACTATGATGCTGCCTAACGTGTGTTACCCTCCTGTTTCCTGTTCCTTTTCCTTGGTTCCTTGCATGTATAAATATATTTCCACTGTAACTTTCAGGCTGTGCTCTGAAAATGTACTGTAGTTATTTCTGCCCCTGACTATATTCATCTGATCCTCCAGGTGTGTCTGAAGCTGCTGAAGGGCAGCGACACTCACATGACGCTGTGTGACATAGCCGAGGGCTTCCTGGTCACCTCCGGCTCGGCGGTCCTGGAGCTGGAGGTCGGGGACACAGTCTCACTCCAGGCAACCAGGTACAACAACATCGTGACGAGTCAGAGCAGCGCCAGCCACACCTTCACCGGCTTCCTGATCTTCTCCACCGCCTAGATCCGCGGCCTCTCACCCACACACGCAGTCAGAGGGAATAAAATGAGACTTTTAGTGACATTTACAGCAATCAAGTGAAATATGTGTTTTCTGTAATCCAACAGCAGAATTAATAAAGGTTAGCTCAGCGGCCGCGTGTTGCATGTTTTAGCCTGTTACAGTCAAAACAAATCACATGTACTTTAAATTCCTGATGTGCATTTTTAAAAAAACATAACACATTTTATATCAAACTCCAACCTTTCCAGCAAAAATCCATTTCAGTGAGACATTCAGAAGATTTATTCAAGTGTTTTAAGATCAGTTAAAGGGACAGTCTGTAATCCAAATATAAACAAATTGCCTCGCCTTCAAAAATGAAAGCACAAGACTGAAATCTGCTACTGCTTCCATACTGACTGACATACTCTTCATACATTATACCACTCTAACATTAAACAACTAAATCTACATCAGTAATGTTTGTGATTCTGTTGTGTTATTCTATGAGCACTTGAGAAACACACTTTCTTTAAAACTCTTTTATTATACACATTGACAGATCAACTTGTACGTTCTTGGTTTTGGTCTTTTTATGGGATTTGTTTACAAATCTTTTTTTAATAACCTTGACTTCTTCTAAACTCTCTGAGGAGGTTTATCATGTGAAAACACACCTGGGATCAAACAAAGTAATAAAACTACACTGCTATTATGACTGATTAGAAATAAATGATTCAGTGTTGTGGTGTGTAACATTTCCTCCAGGTCACTGTTTAGAAACACGGAGATATCAGGTGTCGAGATGAAGTGACTCACTCTGACTGATCCCAGGCCAGGAGTTCATTAATTATCCATCACACAGTATCAACTTACAGGACATTTAAACTTACAGCTGTGTGGATGGTAAACAAACAGTGTTACAGGAAGTCAAGGATTTCTGATCAGATACATTCCCTTGTTTTGTTATGGCATTCTCTAATGCCAAAGTTTTATGTCTTGCCCCCAAAAGTTGCCATTTGTCATGATCCCAGAATAGTTTATGATCCCCTAAAATCCCCAAATGACCCGACCTTTGGCCAATAAAACAAAAACATCAAGCTGCTGGCGTCTGATGGACTTCAGCCCAGCGTGTCGGTGGCTGATGGGCTGCTGAACACACCGTTCCTGGCGTAGAAGGTGCTCTTCACCACCGACGACCTGGCACGGGACGGAGTTCGGTAATCCAGAGTGTAGTCACCTGTGGGTCCGGGCAGACAGCGTTACTGTGGGGGAAAACGTACTGTTCTCTGCATGCTAACAACACAGTGTGCTCACTCCAGAGGCAATGGTAGAAAATTTAAGGAAGGCCAAAAGCTGTTATAAATTTTACCCTAGTTTTTATGTATTTCAAATATGTGGCCAGTACAAACACTAGCTATCACCTAGGTTACCTAACGTTGTACTACAGCGCTGCCTCTTTGGAGACATTCATGTTCCCTTCAGGATAAAGTGACTTTTGGACTAGTGCCGTCATCAGCAAAATATTTGTCCATACATCCAATATTTGGGTGTATGACCAAATACCTGACATTTCCCATGAGCCTCAGCTGTGGTAATTAACACCTGTAGACTCTTACTCTTGTTGAATCTAGAACAGGATGTAATAGAAGATACAGCTTCTGTTTGACGTCTAACCGTGGAGCAGACAGTCCCTCCATCTTACCCAGCCTCCACCCGTACTCCCAGGACGAGAGCACGGGAAAATCAAACTTCTCCTCAGGTCTCATCTGTCCACGTCTGTGCAGGTACAGACTCCGCCCTCTCCCCTGCACAGGACATTTTGTTTTTAATTATTTTGTAAATATTTTCTGTTCAAACAGCAGAAATATAGTAGTAGTGAACAACCAGGTTATGAAATGGCTGGCTGTGTTTTGTGGTGTAACTGCCAGCATCATCTTTAATAAAAATCATTAGCATTGTTAGCAAGTCTTAGTACAAATGTGTTTTATGCATAATAATGAAAGATTTAAAATTAAGATTAAACAAGTTTTGATTTGATTTCTGCATGTAAATAAAACCCAGATTTCTACAATCAGTTGTACATTAGTGTTTAGACTGGTACGTATAACACCTGGATGTACGTTGATGTTGGACAATTTAAACCAAATGGTGGTTTCATACCTGGTGAGAGGAGTCCTGATAGAGAGTCTCTCTGGTCTGGGGAGAAACTGGCCTCATCATGGGAGGAACACTGAGACGCCCGTCCCCCTCCACAGAGAGCACACGAGGAGGAAGATGAGGAGGAGGAGGAAGGTTGCTCTGACTCTTGGGTGTCCAGGTAACAGGAGGCAGGGCTGCCCTGGTGGGCGGAGCATAAACATAAGATTAGTGTGTATGATCAATGGTTTGTGCTGTGCTAATTAACACCTGCAGACACCTGTAGGCTAATGTACGGTACCTTTATTTAAAAAGTTTTTTTAACCTTAACTTCAGAGATTTAACTTAAGAGACAGTAAACGCTGACTCAGCAAACACATCAGAGCTGGGACACACCTGTTTCCCTCATAGTTCATTATTGCCTTCTTCTTCCATCACCTCTAACTCATGTCATTCCAGATCCAGCCGCTCCGACCCGTCCTGGGGTTAACCCAGTGTTTCCTGCTGCTCGCAGTCACCTGATTCCCTACACCTGGCCACTCACCTGTTTCCCATTTCCCTAATCAGATGTCTATTATTAAACCAGCCCAGTTTCACTCACCCCATGTGATTGTATCATACCTGTCTGTCTGTCTGCTTTACCTGTGCCTGACTCCTGCCTGCCTTTTTGGATTTTTGCCCTTTGTATCTGCTTGTCTGCTCACCTGTTGCTGACATGTGGTGAACTGTTTTGTTAGATCCTCTGTGTGTCTTTTGAGTCCTAGTTTTACATGAACGCCTCCGACAGCAGGTTTAATGTGAGTGGAGCAGCTCACCGGGAGTCAGCAGGCAGGTGGGGCAGCTGTGTGGACTCTATGCTGTAGTTTTGGGGGTTGTAGCAGGACGGGTAGAGCTTGGCATAGCGGCTCTTCCAGGCCAAACGTGTCAACATCTCCTTCTGAATCTGCTCCCGGTAGCAGTTCTGGCTCTGAGTCGTCAGCAGGCAGCGCATCTCCTGCCGGGAAGCCTCATTACAATCTCTGTTTGCCTTTCCAACACAGTTTTACACTGTTTAAAATTTGAATTAAATAAATTCACTTTCAGATTCTCACTCAATTTTGCATGATTTTAACAACTATGCTGCCCCTTTTTGTTCCCAACTGTAACAATAAATTTGCTAAAGCTCTGCTCTCCACCACCTTTCAGTTTGGAAGATCATGAAAAATTTGAATTGAATTTGGAATTGGAAATCAATCACATTGAGCAACAAGCTGTATACCAGTATTTAGAGGAGCTGTGTTTCTGAAATCCCATTATGAAATATAAGTGAATTGTTAAATCCAAAATAAATTAATTTACCTTTGAGGTGCCTGAAGCAGAGCTGTGCAGGATCAGCCGCTCACTGTGGAAATGAGCTGTGGCTCAGATAACACACTGTAGCACAGGGAAACATGAGACACACACACACACACACACACACACACACACACACACACACACACTAATCATGCTGCAATTCTGTATAATTCCCGTCCTCATTGGAATAATTTGTGAATGCTTCGTAACCCACAAGTAATAAGTTCTTGTAAAATAATAAATAAATAAATTACAAAATGAATCGAATCACTAATAGAAAAAATAAAACTAAATACCTAATTAAAAACTTTATTCCAGGTTTAAACTGAATTTTCAAATAGATTTTTAAATCCATCATCTATTCATGAATTCATTAATGTATAATTATGTTTTATGTTGTTTTTGTAATCCCTTTTTTAATTTATTGATGGATTAATATTTCATTTGTTGACTCCTTTTTTAATTCTTCTTTTTATTCTTCTTTTTGTTAAAATATCACATAATGAATTACTTTGTAACTCAGTCTATTCATTTATAGATTAATAAATTCATACGTAAACAAATCTATTATTGTATATTTTTATTGTACAAATACTTATTTATTATTGAAATGCTTCATTACTATTTTTGTGACACTTGTGGTCCTCCATAGCCCTGTAGTCAAAGGTATAAATGGAAATGTAGCTTGAATTATGAATCTGTATTATACTGGAATCACAGAAATAACAAGACGCCTAAAAGGATTTCTCAGAAAATTCCCAAATTCTCTGAATTACTTTTATTTTAGTTTAGATTTAGAAATACAAACCCATAATGCCCTTAATTCACCCGACACAAGCTGAGTTGAATGGGCCAGTGAACCTTCTACTGGTCTGCATCACGCAGGAATGAAAAAATCTCTATGTTGATTTAATAGTTGATCTGCATAACAAAGCTCAACCCTTACCTGACACACCTGAGAACAACACGCAGACAAGAACAGGTTCTATTTGTTTCGCAAGGAAGAGACACACGCACATCGAGAGATAACCATCGGATCAGAGCCACAACTTCACAAAAGAAGAACAGCTACAGGAGAGAGTCGTTGGAAAAGTGGATGGAATTATACAACAATCTGATCTGGAAGAGAAGGTACCCTGTTATTGTCGTTGTTCCTGGAGTATTTTCTTCATCACTCAGAAAAAATGGCTTCTCAATCTGGAAAGGATCTCTCCTGTCCCGTCTGCCATCACATCTTTAAAGATCCTGTTGTCCTGTCATGCAGCCACAGCTTCTGTAGAGACTGTCTGAGGAGATGGTGGAGAAAGAAACAAACATGTGAGTGTCCAATTTGTAAGGAAAGATCTCTACTAAAAGAACCACCTGTTAGTTTGGTGTTGAAGAACCTGTGTGAGACTTTCTTACTGGAGAGAGATCAGAGACTTTTAACAGGGTCTGAGTCTCTCTGCAGTTTGCACTCTGAGAGACTCAAACTCTTCTGTCTGGACCATCAGCAGCCAGTTTGTGTCGTCTGCAGAGATTCAGAAACACACAACGACCACAGATTCAGACCCATCCATGAAGCTGCACAGGAATGCAAAGACAAGCTTCAGAAAACCCTGAAGCTCTTCCACGAAAAACAGAAGCTGTTTGAACAAGTTAAAGGAAACTTTGATGAAACAGCAGAACACATTAAGGTCCAGGCCCAACACACAGAGAGGCAGATTAAGGAGCAGTTTAAGAAGCTTCACCAGTTTCTAGAGGAGGAAGAGGAGGCCAGGATCACTGCTCTGAGGGAGGAAGAGGAGCAGAAGAGTCAGATGATGAAGGAGAAGATGGAGGCTCTGAGCAGAGAGATAGCAGCTCTGTCACACACAGTCAGAGCCACAGAGGACGAGCTGAGAGCTGAAGACGTCTCATTCCTGAGGAACTACAAGGTTACAGTGGAAAGAGTCCAGCAGCGCCCCCTGCTGGATGATCCACAGCTGGTCTCAGGAGCTCTGATAGATGTGGCCAAACATCTGGGCAACCTGACCTTCAACATCTGGGACAAGATGAAGGACATGGTCTCCTGCAGTCCTGTGGTTCTGGATCCAAACACTGCTGATCCAGACCTCATCCTGTCTGAGGATCTGACCAGCGTGAGACGAGGACAGACACAGAAGCTTCCTGACAATCCAGAGAGATTTGATTTTTGCCCTGCTGTCCTGAGCTCTGAGGGTTTTATGTCAGGGGCTCACAGCTGGGACGTTGAGGTCGGAGACAATACAAACTGGAGAGTTGGTGTGGCAACAGAGTCTGTTGAGAGGAAGGAACAACCACAGTCTGGATTATGGAGAATAACGTTCTATCAAAACGAATACACAGCATGGTCACCACCAGCTCCATCCACTGTTCTGTCAGTGAAGAAGAAGCTCCAGAGGATCAGAGTGAATCTGGACTGGAACAGAAGAAAACTGTCGTTCTCTGATCCTGATACTAATGCACACATACACACCTTCACACACACTTTCACTGAGAGACTGTTTCCATACCTCAGCAATGGAAATGCACTCCCACTGAAGATATTACCAGCGAATGACTCTACAGAAAGTAAAGAGTACCGTATGAGTTGGTGGCCTTTTAGATAATCTGTCAACCTCTGTCCTCAATAATTGATCTGTTTTTGAGACTGTCGAGTAGATTTATCCTGGATTTGAGAAAATTCTGGGAGAGTTCTGTGTTTAACTTTATGAGGACCTGGACCAAACTCTGCTTTGAGACGACTGGAGAAGAAACAGAACTGATAATGAGAGACGGATCTACTATGTGGACGAAAAGTTACAGAACACAATGTATGACTCCACTAATGTTCTTATTGTATTGTTGTATTGTATTGTAAGTTGCAAATTATGTTATAATTATGGGCGTATGTATGGTTGATCAGTTTGAAGTTTGATTGTTAAATTTTTACTGTTTATGACAAATAAATACAGAATCAGCCTCTGGAATATTTTTGAGAATAGTAATTAAAGTCTACTTCTTCTAGTTTTTGTATTTATTTATTTTTGAAGATGGTTTTAGTTTAACTTGTATGACTTACACACATGACACTTGACATTTGACAGATTGTGATCTTAAACTTAGGCATGAAGAGCTGCCAGTTAGTCCTGTGCAGCCAGTCACCAAACCCAGGCTGGCATCTGACATCTGTCATCCACATATCAAACAGGTTGCAAAATGCAAAGGTGTCACATTACACATTATCACATGACACAATTAATGTTGGATCATCATGAATAATTTACACTTTCAATAAAATTGACCATATAAATCAATTGTGCTATCAAATACTACAGACATAAAGGTAATGAGTAGGTTTACTCCATAACATTTAGGTCTACACTTTGAATAATCACTTGTTAAAAATTAGCATCACTGAAGTAGAATATCAACTACATTGGGCCCTCCTCCATCTTGTGGCCCTTACCTTGTAGAGGGACTGTGTTTTATGACCTTAACTGTTTTAATTTATGTTGATTTCATTTGTTGTATGTGTTTCATCAAACCGCTTCACTTAATTAACCTACAGAAAAAGTAGGCAAAGTAGTAAAGTAAGAAAGAATTAGGCTTATTGTCAACAATTACTTTCATTATCAATAGGTCAACAATTATTTTTTGTAATAACTAACTTATTGTTCAGTGAATAAATTGTCAGATAATAATGAAAATGACCCTTATTATTCCCCTTTCTCTGACCAACAGTCAAAAACCCAAACAACTGACTGAATGACTTTACTGACTGTGATAGAAAACTAGGAAAATAGCAAATATTCTCATCTGAGAAACTGGTACCAGTGCATTTTTGGCATTTTTGTTAAAAAAAAAAAAAAAAAAGACGATTAATTGTCAACCAAATTTTCAGTGAATTTGTGAAGCCTAAATAAATTCTAGATGTAATTTCAGTTATTTATTTTTTCTTCCTTTGAGCAACATCGCCTAACTGTGCGCTTGTGTGCGCATGCGCGAAAGCATTGACGTTTGACGGTGGCAACTAAGCTGACATACATTCGTTCCTTGATGTTGAGGAGGTAAGTGGCGCCGACACCAATTCAAATGTTTAAGTGATGATATTGAAGTTGTCAACACCTTATAACGGTGCGGTTTTGTTCTACCCCACGTCTCTTTTAGTTTTGTGTGGGTTTGTTGACGTTTGACGCCGCTAGCCGCCCGTTATTTGTGAGACACACCAGTGGTAGCTAACGTGTCCCTCCGCACAGGTGGTTGGTGTTAACGTTAATTGTCTCCTTGTTTACTTAACTTACTTTAAGGCGCTGCTTTATCATCTTAAATTTCACAAACAGAGATATTGATTATATTCTTTGGCCTGCTATTTAGGAATTTTATACCTTACTATACTTTATGCCTTAACTATGGCGTTTTTTTACACCCTACTATACTATGACTTTTTATTCTTACCATACAATGACGTTTACTATACTGTACTGTCGCGTTACAGGGTTCGAACCCCGCACATGCAGATTGGGTTAATTAAGGACTGACTATATTATGACATTTTATACCTTACTATACGATGACGTTTCTATGCCTTATGACATTTTATAGCCACAGCTTCTGTAGAGACTGTCTGAGGAGATGATGGAAAAAGAAACAAACGTGAGTGTCCAATTTGTAAGGAAAAATCTCTACTAAAAGAACGACCTGTTAGTTTGGCGTCAAAGAACCTGTGTGAGACTTTCCTATTGGAGAGAGATCAGACCGTTTTAACAGGATCTGAGTCTCTCTGCATTCTGCACTCTGAGAAACTCAATATCTTCTGTCTGGACGATCAGCCACCAGTTTGTCTTGTCTGCAGAGATTCAAAAGCACACAACAACTACAGATTTAGACCCATCGATGAAGTTGCACAGGAACGCAAAAACAAATTTCAGAAAACCCTGAAGCTTTTCCAAAAAAACTGCAGCTATTTGAAGAAGTTAAAGGAAACTTTGATCAAACAGCAGAACACATTAAGGTCCAGGCTCAACACAGAGAGGCAGATTAAAGAGCAGTTTAGGAAGCTTCACCAGTTTCTAGAGGAGGAAGAGGAGGCCAGGATCACTGCTCTGAGGGAGGAGGAAGAGTTATATAATGACAGTTTTACGTCTTACTATACTATGACTTTTTATGCCTTACTATACTGATATTTTATACCTTGCTATGCAATGATGTTATTTGACGTTTTTGACCTTTTTATGCCTTACTATAACTTTTTATGCCTGACTGTACTGTGACGTATTTTGGCATTTTTAGGCCTTGCTGTTTTAATACCTTACTGTTCTATGACCTTTTATGCCCATGACTTTTTTGACGTTTTTAGGCCTCACTATACTATGACGTTATTTGACATTTTTATGCCTTACTATACTACGACGTTTATTTGGCGTTTTTTTGCCATAGTATACTATGACATTTTTATGCCTTTCAATACTATGACGTTAGTTGACATTTTTATGCCTCACTAAAATATGAATTTCTTATGCCTTAGTATACTATCACGTTATCTGACGTTTTTATGCCTTACAATACTATGTTTTTTGACGTTTTCAGGCCTCACTATATCATGACTTTTTTATACTTTACTAAATTATGACATTTTTATGCCTTACTATATTATGACATTTTTATGAGTTACTTTACTATCTAATTTTTATGACTTTTTATGCCTTACTATACTATGACGTTATTATGATTTTTTATGCCAAACAATACTAAGTTTTTTATGAATTTTTATGGCTTACAATACTGTTTTCATGCCTTACTATAGTATGTCATTTTTATGACTTTTTATGCCTTACAGTACTATGAAGTTTTCATGACTTTGTTGTCATTCCTTATTATACTATGTTTTTATGCCTTACTATACTATGACGTTTTTGTGACTTTTTATGTCCTTACAAACAAAATCATTATAAATAAAATCATGCCAATAAATAAAAGAAAAAATATTTATAAAAGCATGCATGTAAACTGTGGAATCAATAAATAAGCATAAAATCCACTCCCGCCTCGTCAGCACCATAGACGGCGGCTCTTGCTGTGGTTAGCGGTTCCCTCTCTCCTTCAGAGGGAGGAATGGAACGCGCTCGCGGCACCACCCTGGGTTTTGAGCACCATCTGCGGGGGTAAAGACTTCAGTTTGCCGTCCTCCCTCCCGGTTCTCTGGCGTGTCTGGACTCGGTGTCTTTCAGAGCGCGACTCTCGGCGGAGTGAATACAGATTTTCAGAGCGTGTCTGGCACTCTTTCATCCAAATCTGTTCAATATCAGATCATATCTTACTACTGGGACTGATGTGCTTCTGCCATCCTCGCAATCCGTCTCGGTCGCCTCCACATGAGGCATTTCAGCGTTGGTGGCTTTCACAGACTGGGACCCGTGCGTCATGGCGCGCGGAGAGTGTTGGTCACATCGGAGTGCGTTATGGCGCTCCGTCACTGTTTAAATGAGTGAGTCATGTTTAAATGTGGCTGTCCTTCAACAGTGACAATACAGGATCTAGTGATGGATACTAGAGTTTGTGCTTTTTCTAATTTGTCTTATGTACTTCCAATTTAAATAATGAAAATACTAATTCACTAAAGTGTCCCTTAAGATCATCATCATGAGGCATATGGTAAATATGAAAATCTCATTTCATTTTATTTTACAGCACAAAGTGACACTGAAGCTTCTCATCAAACCAACTGTGAGGCAAAGACCAAAGTCCACAATGAGATAAGTCATTATCAGATCACAACAATCTGATGACATCCCTCCGTTTCCAGCCTGGAATATATGAAGTGATATATGGAGGACCAAAACTGACCACATTTAAAACAAAGAATAAACAGAATGGCCAATACATAGAAAAACAAATGGCTATGCATCAAGAAAACGTTTCATATTTAATTTTATATATCAATGCACTTATTTCTCTGTTCATTTGACCATTTTGTTTATTTCCTAATTGGCTGCTGCTGCTGATTGTCATCAGTTCATTAGCAGCATTTGCTTCTGTGGCAATCAACAAAACCAGATATATCTGTTTCAATAGGAGGCTTCAACCACAAAATACCTTCGATTTCTAAATAATATCATTATATTATTATAGAATTCTATGACTCTAACTTTCATCTTCTATAGTCTGTCTTCTAGCTGTCGTTGGTCTCTCTCTCTTGTCCTCTGTCTTGTATCTT